GGTGGGAGGGAAACTTGCAACTCTTTTATAAAACAGGAAGTAAAGTTTCGAATGGTATCAGATACGAATGTCAAAATGGTTAGGAAAATGTAAAAGGAAGTGTTTCATCGAGATAGTGCTATAATTTTTATTCAAAATTAGTATCGGTTTTGGATGTCTTGTCGTCTAAATAAGGTAATTTTGCAGAGCTCCACAATATTTCTGATTTTTACCTACATCCACTATATATCACTTCTGAAAGTGTGGTGGTGGTGTGGTATGGTGCTTTTCCGATCTCGGCTGCATGCAGCAATTGCAGAGGCTGCAAGATGCCTGATTGCGGGTGCACTACTGGTTTAAGGTGCTATTCCACTCTCGACTGCAGGCTGCAAGAAGTCCGGCTGCGTGAAGCAGTGAATATAAACCAGTCGTGCATCCGCAGGGCTACTTGCAGCCATGCAACCTGCAGCCAAGATCGGACAGTTACAGGCCGATGTAAGCAGCGCGTGCAGTTAGAGCCACGTTCGGAAAAGCATCTTTTACAATCGACTAAGACTCGTTTTTTTGCACCTAGTACCTATCTATTTATATGATTTATTACGTCATCATATTGCATTAGCCTTATTCAAATAAAGGTACTTACTCATTATTTTAATAGGTAGATAATAAACGACTAATAAGTATCTACCACAACTCTATTAATTAATATATAAACTTGTGGACTGACGGATATAAGTATTCACATGTTAATATTTTATTAAAGAGGTATGTTTTAGCCCTATTTCAGAAACACCGGAATTCGCGCGGTCGCTAGCCACCGAGATCAATCGAGGGGAGCTTATTTTTATTTCATAGTACTAGAAGTAGTCTGTACTGCAAACCTCTTGAACAAAACCAAAGGCAAATAAACTTGTGCAGTTCACGTTTTCGTATGTAAAAGAGAGAGGTGTTTGATGTTAGACATGCCTGTGTGTCTGTATGTGTGTTTCCTATGGCAGCACAGCTCCTACACGAAAGGACCGCTTTTTTATACAAGTTGCAGCTTATTGTCTGTACCCTACCGTAAGGTAAGCGTAAGTGAAGTTCAGTGACGAAGGTAACTGCACGGCTATCCTTACCCAGCCTGGCGGAATCCAATAGTAGTTATCGGTGGAGCCCTGTTAAAAATAAAATGAGAAAAAAGTGTGAGTGGAATCAGTGGAATCCAGATACAAATGCAGCTGGTGCAGCAGACATGTATCACCCTCGCGTTACATCGACCTCAAAACCTAACGGCACGACTACGACCTTGCCGCTATGAGATGACTGACAACTTTGAACAAGGCCCCATGCAATGAGAATAAAACTATATATACTAAAATGTTTGAAGCGTGCCCTTAATACCACGAAACAAGCCACCCACAGCGACGGGGTTAGCGTCACCAAATGTACACTGACCTGACTGACTGATCAAAGTTGTCACTCATAGCGGCAAGGTCGTAGTCGTGCCGTTAGGTTTTAAGGTCGATGTAACGCGAGGGTGATACATATCGGCTGCACCAGCTGCATTTGTATCTGGATTCCACTCACACTTTTTTCTCATTTTATTTTTAAGGTATTGGTAGCAATCCAAACAAGTAGTACGCAGGCCGAGACTTCTTCCATATGTTAATAGACTACGATGATCTATTCATCTTGATGAGAGATAAGACCTTGGTCTTCAAAGAATATACCTATATTGTATGTGTGTGCGTATATCCTTGAGAATATGTTTTTGGTGCGTGCATTTTGCTTTAGATTGAGAGGTTCAGAGGTAGGATAAGATAGATTCACACAAGTACTAAAAGCCGCGCGTATAAAAAACGCTTTATCTCCTTCTCTCTCTCCATCCAATGTGTCTTATGAATGTTATGACATGTAAGATAGAAAAAGTTCTTTCAGTTGTCGGATTTATTATTGTTTTTAATTAAGCATTTGTTCGCGAAATAATCAGCGTTTCTAAATCTCCGAGAAACCTTTCAGGATCAAAAACATTAATATACTACACTACGTGTCTGATGAATGCTACGACATGTAAGATAGAAAACATTCATTCAATTGTCGGATTTATTATTGTTTTTAGTTTAGCATTTGTTCGCGAAATAATCAGCGTTTCAAAATCTCCGAGAAACCACTCGGCCACTGAGGATTAGAAGCTAATGCACTTTGCTATAGGTTAGTTATTGGATGGCAGTCCAGAAGAATATCGAGAGTTTCTACAGTCTTCGAAGGACATTTTTCTTAGCAATTGTTTATTCTCCCTGTGTGATTCTGATCACAGTGGCTGGGATGAGAAATTTAGAGTTTATTTCATCTGTCAAATCTCAATGTGATGATAATGTTTCTCCGAATTTCATCAAAGTCCGTGTGTTTGGTACGGCATGATTACGTAACATAAAAATAAAGATACACATTTTCTTATTACAAATTTATCATTTGTTTCACAGAAATAATGAAGACAGCCTGTTTTCCACCTATCCAGTGGTATGAAATTTATATATTGAGCCATAGAATCCCAATTAGATTGTAAATACGAGTTTTGATATTTATTACTCAACCACGCCGTAACGGCTGAATGAATTTCAATGAAAGGTAAACTATAGAGCTATAACATCTGCGCGAGAGAAAGACGGGGAAAATCTATTAAATAAATTATCAGCTACATACGGTAGGTAGCGAACAGCTATATTAACAATTCCTCTTTGAATATTAACTTTGTTACATTTCTGTTAGATTAGATTATACAAGCGTACCGAATTATCTGGATTACATAGTGCTCCTTTAGTGCCTAAAACAAAGAGGTGGCATAAAACTGTTTTGGACGGTTCTGTGTAAAAAACAGACAAAGGAAAGAGACCTCTGTGGCCCGGGCTATTGATCTGAGCTAAATCTATTCTGAATTAACTTAAAATAGCTATCTGTCACCACCAGCCACCACACTAAATACACTAATGCATTTAGACTGTAGAAAATAAAAAAAGTATCTAAAAACTTATCTATGGTAAACTTTGCTATAAAACTTGTTAGTCGCAAATAGGTTTTAATATCATGTTATAATTTACCGGCTGATTGTTCAATAATTTCTTCATTAAGTCCCGTGTTGTTTTTTATGCTATTCGCAATAATTTATTTTATAGTGACAGCATTAGCTTTCAACAAACTTAAAAGCTGATTGTCGTGTTTCAATGCGGCTGTTAGTATCTATTTTCCTGAAACCTGAAAGCTATAATTAAACTTAAATCTACTTATATTGACTTGGGGTAGTTTTGTGTTAATACTATTTTAATTATTCGGGTAATGGGCTTGTATAAGAGTTATGCAAAATGGCCTATTTTTAAATTGCAACTCAATGCGAGGTTGTCTTTTGTTCATGTTTCAGTCTGAGCGGGTCTGAGTGCGAAATTAAGCTCTTTTTTGCAATTAAAATGTAAATGACTGATCATCAATCAATTAGGTATTGGGTAATTGTTATTTAAACAAATTTTTGTTATCTACTCGAGAGTATTTAACAGAATGAGTGCATTATAGAATTCTAACTACTACTGTGTGCGGCGTTTATCGCGTATTACAAATTACTCATCACTGCCGGTATTTTTTTCCTAGACCAGTATAACAGGTTTAGTTTATAGATCGACTGTGTGTATATGTGTACGTATTAGTGTTTTACAATTACGAATTATTGATCTCGTTTTAATCGCCTACAATGTATTAATTTATTTTATTATCATTATGACGCAACGCCATGCGCTTTAATGAAACATTAGTATGAAAATGCAACATTCTATGCTGTGATATTCTTAATCATCTTCAGGGACAAAGAAATGCTCTAAATACGTAGAGCATTGACTCCTTATCTGCTTTTTTATCAGAGACATGTCTGCATGTGTGCTAAAGCTAATTTCTCAACATTTAGTAATCATGATATCATTCATTTTCATTCATGCAAAATGATGACGGTGAAAATAAGTAATTTAACTTCATAGTTGAGAGAGTACTCATGACCTGGAGTTCTAAAATAGCAACATTTAATGTGTGAAACATCTTGCAGTATATTTTTCAATTTATTTTTTGGATGATTTTTTGGATCTGTGTATACGATCACGGAAATCTTTTAGACCTCCTCGTGTCGTCGTTATCGGTTAATAGAAACATAATCAAATAAAGTTAAATAATAAATTGGAAAATATATTTCTCTAAATTCGGGAGATACACCCTTCTCATATAGAAGAGCTTGCGTATATCATGCCTGTAGCCGGGTTTTATTGTTGTCTTTACGACGGCTTTCTCGTGTGACGCAGTTTTCCATCCTTGCATTTTGTAAGAGCAAATGTGTGATAAAGAAACCGTTCCACTTACTCGTGGTCATTCTTGTTGTGAACTGACTTACAGCGATTCTTTAAGAAAAGTATGACTGCGGTAGGTGTGAATTGCGAAGCATACTTATATTGCCACACACATTTCCCTTCTGTTCCGTTTTCTATTTAAGTTGTCCTCAAACCATTCTTGGACTTGGATGTGGAATTAGATAGTCTTCGCTACTGGCCTTCAGCATCAACCTTATAATGTCCCAGCTGCAGGAGTACAGATCTTCCCTTTGGATAGAATAGGGAGATTGAGTCATAAATAACCCACCACGCAGGCTCTGTGCAGATTGGTGAGTGTTAATGACCGCAGATGCAGCCGGGACCAACGGCTTACATGCCTTCCGAAGCATTGAGGAGTTCAAGATTGTAAATTTTAGTCACCCAACCAAAGACCGACCACTACGAAAGTAGCTTAACTTCAAAGATCGCAACCGAACGCACAAACCCTTTGCGCCATCGACTCACAATCCAATAATGGCATCTTCTTAATCAGGGATCTGTGTATATCTCGAATGGTTGAAATCCGGCTGACATTTTGATCTCCTCGCGGCCTCGTGTGAATGGTCTAGTAAATCTATTCTCTTTGGTGCAGGTAGTGGGAGCGCGCGGCCTGAGTGATAAGTGGTAGCGGAGGCGGTGATGCAGCGAGACCACGCGGGCGGCGCGCCGCTCGCGCAACCCCCCGCCCCCGCTTCCGCCACCGCCCCGCACCTGGTACACTACCGCTCGCACGTTTACGCAGACATCGATGATCAGGTGAACTGGTACAGCTTATCATGAGTAGTCTTTTAAGTATCCTGCACTAACAATACAATACACAATACTTTATTGAAAACACCACAACACAGAACAGAAATGAGGGAAATTACAATTCTAAAAAAAAAGTGCTTCAATGGGCGGTTTTATTGCTAAAAGCAATTTCTTTCAGACAACCTTTGGATGGAGAGGATTGAAAGAAAGCTGGAGTCGGCGGTTTCGGTAAAAGAAACAAGGGATATAAACGAATTTATGAATTTAATATATATACAAATATACATACACATATACATAGACTACACATATAAAGTTTAGTCCAGTCAGCAGAGATAAAAATGCAGCTACATCATAAGATTTTTAAAGACATTAATAAAATGCGCTCGTCTTATAGATACTGAAAGAGAATTCCAAAGACGTACAGTTTGGGTTGTAAAATAACGACTTACATGACTTCAATCACGTGAAGACTTACTCCTCGCCTCGCAGATGAGAAGACTTACTGTCAAAGAGGTAGGATATATCGGATTTTCTTGAAGCGCTCGCCAGTCTGAGAAAGTGTTTTCGACCTTACCGAAGACCACAGTAAAATAATGGTGGCCATACACGATCAAGTCCATCTTCCAATCGGCATGACACTGCGATATGGCGATCGAGTTTAGTTGACTGTAGTCTGTGAGTTGAGTAAATAATTTTCAGAGATTTTTGGCACCATTTTGCCACCATTGCCTGCACCACTCCGTACGTGTTTTTATTTTTTCTAGTTTCTTTATCATGAGTAATATGCACAAGATGGCTAACACATTGTCGACCGTCACTGATGACACCATTACTTATACTGAATGTTGCTGCCGATTGGACAGTTAAAACTCATCGCGTGTGGTGGCCATACACGATCAAGGGTGAACTACATATTCGATCAAGCCTGCAGCGTCATGCCGATTGGACGATAGGCAGTGTAGTGTATGGCCACCATAACACTACCTCTCGGTGGTGTTGTATTTATGTTGTGAGTCGGATTCCAGGGCTCCGTGGGGTAGGACATTGTGTTCAGGTCAGCAAGGTGAGCACCGCTAGAGTAGTACACTCGATTCCAGCGGAAATCCAATATGCCCTACCTCTCATAAATAGCCTAATTAGGACAACCTATTTGTTTCTTAACTTTTCACGCACACTACTTATTATATGAAACAAGTTTACAGAAGCAACAGTATTAAGTGACTCTAGATCTGCTTTAGAGTCTTTAGAGAACACTTAAATGCTACCCGCAAGTCATTGAAATATAAAGTAATCTGGAAGAATTGGAGTACCTCAACAAAACTGTGAAACTGGCACAGCACACATAGGCATAGAAGTGAACGATAGAGCAGACACTTTAGCTAAAGAAGCGGCACACAATAAAACAGCACCAGTGTACGACCTATGTCCACTTTCACACATCAAAAGATTACTTAGAGAACAATCGCTGTGCGCTTGGCAGCAAAGATACGACGAAGGTGAAACAGCGGGTACGACTAAACTGTGTTTCCCCGATGTCCGAGCGTCATATACGGTAGTAAGACAAATTGAACCGAGTCACCTACTCTGTCAGGCGTGGTGCGCATGTCACAGTGGATTTGCACATAACTTACACAAATTTAAACTTAAAGATAGCCCGGACTGTATATGCGAACCTGGAGTAGAAGAATCAGCCATCCACCTCATAGCAGAATGCTCCAAACATAGACTGGAACGGATGAACCTGGAAACAAAAATAAAGTACAATATAAATAAAACCACACTACAACACAAAATAGAAGATAAAACCATGAGAAATGATACATAGTAAAAATAGTAAAAACAGCAAATAGACATAACATATTCATAGAATATATAAAATCATAGTTAAATAAATATGAAGATGATAGATAAAAAATCACTAAACAAGCACTCATTAAGTAAACATATTATAACAAAGTAACTGATTAAATATCAGACTAAAATGGACGGTTCACAAAGAGTTTTCTGTAATCATTCCAACATTTTATTTCTATAAATAGTAAATATCTAAGTAGGTACTTTCATTAAGTAAATACTGAGGAGTATTTGAGTCCATACTTTTTCACGACTAAAATGATGTTTTCCTGCAAGAAGGTCCCTATGGTGTGCGAATGAGGGTTCACGTCGAAAAGGTGCTGTGGTTGGTGTGGCACGCATGTCTGCCACACCCGCTGCCTTCGTAAGTGAACTTCACTTAAATCAACATTTGGTTGGGTGAAGAAATTTGTTAGGCCTTCTATGAAAATGAAACATCGTATTACCAAAACAATTATCGTCTTCCTATTGAATATATTCAACTTGTTACTGATCTAGCTTTGATTGTTTCTAGATACCCGCTTCGGTAATAAGCAGCGTCGGCACAGTGAGCTTATCGCAGTCCTCGACGCATCCCACGCCAAACATAACGATGGCGAATCCGACCAACCCCGGTGCTGCCAGCAGCGGCGCTCCAGCCCAGCCGCCGCCGCAGCAGGCACCGACGCAAGCCCCCGTACGCAACCTCCCCAAGAAGAGGAAATTCGACCCCTCCGAGTTGGAAGAGATCGAACGGAACTGCATGAATAACATCGCCATCACCGCCCCCATGCCTGCTGAATACCAGCCGTTACTCGTGCCGCAACCTTCGCCCTTGATCCAACGGCATACGCCTCCCGTGGAGGTGAAACAGTACGCCATCCATTACCCGAACATAGATCTTTCCGAGTGGCGCGACCATAGAGTTCTAGCGCGGCGGCGCGGCGTCTACATTCCCGGTGTGATACGTCAAGCGGACGGCTGTAAAGTGCTTGTGGAGTTTGACGGCCAGGAGAACGATACCGTGGAGTACAGTGATATATTCGCGAAGAATAAGTACGATGTGATAAGTGACGCCAGTCCGCAGATGAGCCACATCGAGGTGAACTCGATGTGCGTGGTCAGAACCGCGGACCCCAGCCGGGAGAATGTGCAGAATGTCTTCGTGAGCGGCACTGTTTACGAAATCCTTAACACGACACCGAGAAGGATAAGAGTGAAGGTGAGATTATTAGAATCCTCTACAGTGATGATTTTATGATACTGTATATGCATTTACATAAATTACGTAACAATACATAGATACTCTTAAAGCCCACAAATCTGCGAAATCAATGACGGGATCCACCAACACCAACTGCAATTTAATAAAAACATTAGTTGGTGACAAATATTTCACCTACCCTATTGTGGGCTAAAGTTGTGATCTAATTTTGTTTCGTAATAAATAAAAAGTAGAAGCTCGACCAATCTCTGATTAAATTAAGATAAAGGTTATAGGTAGCAGGTTAACAGATAGGGGAGTTTTGAAGGTATAACTAAATCCGAATATGTCTCCAAAAATATGCATCATGAGTACGAAACGCCATATATCCTAAGAATTTTGTAGAGTTCATGATGTGCAAATTTGTGCGTTTTAAAGGTTTCGTCTCCAAATGATAAAAACGGAACCTTATTGCTGTCACTCTATAGTCTGTCTATATGTCACGGGTCTCTAGATGGTGAAATTTTGGTATTTTATGTAGAACGTTTGCCCTAATTCGAATATTTAGTTAAAAATTCATTTAAATTAAATTTCATGGTGGTTCCCATACATGAAAAGGAGTCCATTTTTTCTTTCTTTTACATGAGCATGTGACACAACACCGTTCGTTATTTGATAACAAAACTACTGCTTCCCATAATATTGCTATATGCGAAAATTTAAAAATATAAATAAAGACTAAGTGGAAGTTAAAAATTTACTGTACATTAATTGCTGCCTCATTCACCTCACACAACCTTATCAAGTAAGATAAACATGCCGAGAAACATTAGAATGCGTTACACCAAGAACAGTGCTGTGCACATAATTCTTGTTTGAAATCGAAATCGCCAATCGGTTTGTGGCGGGGCGTTAAGTTGCGTTTTGATTGGGTGCGTCAGTGTGACGTCAGGGTCGGCTGACAAATTTAATGAAAAGATGTTTCGCCGTCAAAAATACGTTTGGGGGCGAGGCACACGCGTATGTTGGGCTTATTGCTGCTTGAGCTTGGCCCTTATTTGTGGTCTCTAGAGAAGGTGCTCTATGTTTGTGTATGTTGCTGTCTGTCTTTAGGGGTCATCTATAAAGTACGTCATACGTTAAGTAGAACGGAGGGGGTCGACGAAGTTTGACATTGTGTGACGAGGGGTGGGTGGGGTCCCAAGTTTCTTGACGTCACATTTCAAAATAATACTTTTGAACTTTCAGAAACCTTTAAAGAATATAGGACTCTTATCTGTATTTGTTTTGTTGTCAAATTTTCGGAACTGCTGTTTTTAATTTAATAATTTTTCGATGCCAAATTGTATAATATGTGACTACACACTAGGGAGGGGATTGACAAATGTGACCAACTGTGACAAGGAGGCGGAGGAGGAGTACAAAAATCACGGAATTCGTGTGACGTACCTTATGGTCGTTTGCCTTACTAATGTCAGAGTTCAAACATAAACAAACTTTTGTATTCCCTATAGGTGACAGACCGCGATGGCTGCGGCGAGAGTGTCGAAGTCAAACGAGCCGACATTCGATTGCTGCAACCACCGTGGGCGGACGAGTTAGAAGACGCGGGCTCGCATGCCGTGTCTGCTATACACGCGCAGCATCTGCAACGAAGCCACGTGTCACAGAATCAGGTACTGAAGCGATTTTATACTGCGAGCGTAGAATGATAAATCGCTACACCAATTCCCCTTATGTTCCCGAAACATCCATTTAGACGAGGCCAATAGCTGAGACAATCCAATGATGACATTGTCTAAATAATCAATTCTTTAAATTGTCCTCAATGGACTTGGGTGGGGATTGTCTCCGCAACAGGCCTTCAGCATTAACCTCTAAATGTCTCTACTCCACACACAGGCCTGCCCTATGGTTGGAATAGAGACTGGGCCTTGATCCACACCTGCCCAGTAGTGTGGATTAGTGGGTGCTAACTACTGCCATTGCCGGGACCAACGGCTTAACGTGCCTTCCGTAGCACGTCCTTCGTGCTACGGAAGGCACGTTAAGCCGCTCCAAGTTTTTGGTCACCCATCGAATGACCTGCCATTGCGAAAGTTGCTTAACTACCACGAGCGCTAACCACATACTCCATCGAGTTCCTTAATATTTGGAGTGACACACAACACTACACTTCGCGTGCGCTCGGTCAAGGGCCGCATGGTATATGCTCTAAGGCCGCGTGACGTCATCGTATCCTAAAGCGCTAGCGTTGTTTTGTTGAAAATAGTTTTAATATTTGTTTTTATGTGCCCGTTGATACCCGGCGTCTAGAGCGACCGTTCTTATTGCTCTACTTCCGGGCTGGCGCTGAATGTTGCTGCAAAGTTTGATGCAGATTAGCCAAATAATTTGAAAAGTCCTAACCAACGGCCGGACATTTCAATCATATTATACAATACATCGAGGCTATTAGTTTCGTCCTAGGTATGTTTATGGTACAATACGCTGTTTCAGGCTGACGGCAGACACAGCTGAATATTAGCAACTGTACGCGTTGGTAGAGATCTATCATAAAAGAAAAATTCTCACACAATTTGATATTTTTACAAAGTAGGTACAAGTCGGTACAGAAGACAATCAGTTTCAATAAGAGACAATTTAACTTTATGACTAATAAAGTAACACGACAACATTTTAAAAACACCGTATTCAGTTAAAAGAGAATCGTTCTTACAAAATGAGGCGACCATAAAAGAAATAATAATTCTTTATGTGCCCACGATAGCTGAAAGCTGATAAACTAGTAAAATTATTTTTCGGGTTTAGCTTGTAAACAAAGTGTATGAATTCATTAAATATTCATAACATACGTTTCAAGAATGAGGAAAATCCCATTGATGTAATAGCAAGAAATAGTTTTGCAATGAAAATATTTTCCTCGATATACATAGATAGAAATTGTATGCAGAATTCTGATTCTAAATATAATTATTATAATGTAGCGGTCTGCACCGGGCTGTACTTTTAGGGAGGTAAAAGATAACCTAATTATATTATTTTTATTATGTTTATATACAGACCTATTCTCACGAAGGGAGAGGGTGGGGGGGGGGGGGGGTTAAATATAAATAAATTATTATTAAATTTAATCATTAATTTGCAATAAGTGCATATTATTGTGTTGTTAAGAGAGGTCTAGGTCATAGCGGATTTCCCGCTCGAATTAGAGCGCCCGTCTGGGGAAGTAACCTCCACCTTACAGAGGACCACAGTAAAGGTACAATTCCGCAATGGGCTGCAGGCGACAACCGCAGGAGACACTGCGGCTAGCGGCTGCGGCTGACCGTGCGTTATATGCATTGTGCAGCCGCGGCATGTCGCCCGCCGCGTTCGGAATCAATTTCATAGAGATTTATAGAAACTAGTAGTGTCGCCTGCAGTCTGCGACTGCGGCTTGTGGTCTGCGGTTCAGTTCGGAGTTGTACCTTAAAATAACACTACCTTTTGGTGGTGTTGTGTTTCTGTTAATCAGTAAGGTTCCAGGGCTCGAAGGGGTAGAGGATTGGTTCAGGGTAGGAGGTAGGTAGGTGCGAGTTATATTTTTTGTATCGCAAACGTCTATAGGCTATGGTGACCGCTTACCATCAGGTGGGTCATATGCTATGTCTGCCACCTTTTTAACATAAAAAAAATATAGAAATGGGAAAATATGCCTCCTTCCTGGGCGTCTTAAGACGACCTCCATGGTCGAGTGGTTTGGACGCCGGGTTTCAAGGTGTCGCCTACTCGAGAGGTCCCGCGTTCGAATCCCGGTGGGGGCAGATGTTTGTGTGATGGATACGAGCATTTGTACTCCAGTCATGGATGTTTAATATGTATTTCTAAATAAATGCACTTATGTATGTATCAGTATATGTATTCTGTCCGTTACCCTAGTATCCCATAACACAAGCCTACAGTGCAGTGCTTACTTTGGGGATAGGCTAATTGGCGTGAGTGTTAGAAATATTTATTTACTTATTTAAGACCTACGTTGCGCTACGGAGACATAGCTAAATATTTCAAAAAAAGGATCAATATAAGATTAGCATATGTCGTGTGATTAATGACTAGTAGTGATATTTACAACCGCAGCCAGGTTTTTCAAATTGTTTAAACACATTCGTTTTATCGCTTCTCGGTAGCTGATTGCGAAGGGATTCTCTGCGTCAACGTTTAAATAGCTGTATCATAACTATCATAGGTCATTTAATGTACAACATAGGACTTGTTAATGAATTTTCTGTTCACATTTAATTTTGCTCGTTTAATTTTGATCTATTATTTATACAATAGTGATGTATGGTGAGGTAACTAAGGCCTTTATATTATTCTCTACCTAACCAAGTCTGTGATCGTGGAAGTTAAGCGACCTTAGCAGTGTCATAGAATGGTTGATCAAAAAATTTACCATCTCTCGAGCTTCGCTGTGCTTCGAAATTACACGTTTTTTCGTTAGTTCCGATTGTTTCTGCAATCGTAATCACACACCAATCCGCACTGGCCCTGTGTAATAGGACATGCCTTCTCCTCCTAGTTGCTTTATAATATAAGGGGGCCTGTGCCCCAGTAATGCGGACATTAATAGACTGATGATGATGACCAAAAATTTTTATGGAATAGGATAATTTTTTGTCTAGTAAATATTGGAGAGATAAAACATCATTATAGCTATGATAACCCTAATTTTATACCTAAATTGCCCTGTCCCTATCTCTTGATAAGCTTTCGCTATCTGCGCGGGGACTATAAGCAGCTAGCTTATCCTACTATTCTTCCATCTCTCATGGTCAATTAGAAAGTCTTAAATCGTTTTTCATGTAATAAGAATGACGATGCTCTTCACATATTATTAATGTTTCCGTTAGATCCTCATATAGTCAAGGTGAATACTGGGTAACAATTTATATCGACAGCGCCTTTATGATCTGGTAATAAGAGCGAATGTGTTAACTATATTTTTGGCTCAATAGCGAACTGTTAACCCAATGTGTTGTGGCCGCCTAATAATTAAGAGGGGAGGCGGGCAATGTTTTATCCATGTAAACGTTCTCGACTGATTCCTCCTTGATTTTTATCACTAAAGAATTGATTATCATACATAAAATATAATTTTACTTATTCTATGCTCCTATGTCATCCTTTTTTCGGTAACTTGTGTTTCAAAGAAACTAGAAGCCCTCGAAAATGCTTAAAAATTAACAATTTTTATCACCACTAAAGACTTTAATAAGCATTTACAAAAAAAAACAAAACATAATGGCATAGTATAACTATGTTTTTATTGTTTGTATAAAATTTCTTTTACATACTACTCTGTGTTAAAAGTATCGGGAATATGTCAATAAATAGACCCGCGTAAAAAGAGGAAAGAGGTCGTTTTAATTTTTTTACTGCATGTTGGTAGCACTGTCCTAATTTACCGCGCAAAATTTGAGCGGGATCTGTCATTTAATCTGTTTAAAGCTGCAGTTTTTATTCATAGTTTTGAGTCCTCGGTTTTTTTTACAATGGAAAATATTGTTGAACAAAGAGTGTGCCTTAAATTTTTTTGTTTCGAATGATATTCGTGCATATCAAAAACAAGGGGATATGAATGGTATAAGTCTTTTAAAGAAGGCCGAGAAATAGTAGTAGACTTACCTCGTTCTGGTAGACCTTCAACCTCTACGACCAACGAAAACATCCACAAAATCAAGAAGCTAGTGCTCGAAAATCGACGTAGAGTCTGAGAGAGTTGGCTAGTGAGGTGAACATATCTTTTAAAACCGTTCACAACATTCTCGTTCACATTTTAGGCATGAAACGCGTCGCCGCTCCACTAGTTCCAAAAGAGCTCAATTTACCACCACACTCAGCCCATTATTGCGAAAGAGTTTTTAGAGAAAAATTTAACAAAAGTTCTCGACCAAGCACCGTATTCACGTGATATGGCTCCGCCTGACTTTTTTTTAAAATTACCACTTCGAGGAAAATGTTTTGTGTGGATAGAAGCCATAAAAGAAAATTTGCTGAATGTGTTGTATGCCATACCGCAAGTAGCTTACCACAAATTTATGGAGGACTGGGTGAAGCGGTGGAGATGTTGTATTGCAAGCAATGGGGCCTTTGGGCCACTTTGAAGGCGATAAATTAAATTTAGATGAATAATTTGCGTTTTTTTTTGTTTTGAAAAATTCCCGATACGTACACAGAATGTATATCTAATTTTCGAGGAGGAGAAGGGAAATCGTCGAGAGCCAAACCTCGAACTTTTCAATTTTTATATGCATTTTTCAGCGTTAACTACTGTTGTCCCTATCGCACGGTATTTGCCAATGCGTGTCAGCAATAGTTTTTTCAAGTACCTTTTTCTCAAATGTCTCTCAGATCGAGTCCGATCTTAATCCTTTTGTAATAAGTTGACGATAAAGACGGAGGGTCTTTATATCCCTCCCATTCCTCAATTCCAATACATAAAGGCAGTTGTTTTATTTTGTTTGGCGAAGTAGGTGGTAAGTGAATTGTGCGACGAACGCAAAATGCATGTTGCAGAATTACGTCACGCCGTTCGGTAGGTAGGTCAGTGATCTCTGATCGCCGCTGCGGCACAAGTATCAATGATATGCTTACTTAGCAGGGCTTTGATTCTGCTAAACTTAACGTAATAAGACGATAGTCTCTCAATGGTGTTTCAATGGTTAAACTTTTTAACACAATAATAAGTAAAAACAAATAGTTAACATCGAATAAAAAAAGTAGGTGTTATGAGAGTAAAATATATTTTTTTGATGATCTTTCCTCTCGCTTTCCTGCAATTTGTGGGAGTGATTTCGTGAAATGAGACGGAAGTGTGTAACAGGAAGACGCGAAAGCGTGCGCTATTTGATTTGATTTTAGAACATAATGTTCTTACTAATATAAGGTGAGGTTTCAAATGTTACACATCATATGCGACTATTGTAAGGCTCGCTCGTTTTTTCTTTAAGATCACTGTTAATCCATTAATGTGTACAACCTGTAACACCCGTTACATGGAATGAACCGGCTGCAACGTAGTTTTATACTTCTAAAGCTCTAACTGTGCACATGTTTTTTTCTACTATATTTTTGGGGAATAAAGAAATGTATTACATAGGTAGGTAGGTAATTCAGCTAATATAAGGTAACATACGTTTGTGAGCCACATTATGTTTGGCCATCACATTGGCGTACTATCTAGTTTAATTGATTTATTAATAAGCAGGGTCTCGATTCTGCTACGTTAAAGTAACAATCGTGTATCAATCATGTTTCAGTTGTTCTGATTTTTGACACATTAAGGACCACTTGCAGCGAATTTGCTAAATCCCGATTCAACAAAATCTAGCTTTATCCCGTAGAAAAAATGTGCAAACGTCAATTTCAATTAAACATTTTATGGGATAAATCCTATATTAGTTAAATTGAGATTTTTAATAATTGCTGCAAGTGGACCTTATTGTTACTGAAATACATAATCACAAATAAATTAGCTTTCTCTTCTGTTATTGTTATCTATATGCATTCGTGATTTCATGTTTTACTTACAAGAACTGTGCCAAAAGGCGCTGCAATTGAACCACTATTGAGACACGATTGTTACGTTAGCTTGCCAGATTATACACCCAGAGGTCTTCATTATTAATTGTACAATAAGTAATAACAATACATAACGTAACATACCGTCAATCGTTGAATTAATTTTTTGTTGTAAGTATTGTGTTTTAGTAATAGGAACTTAGTCAAAAAGTTCACAATTCACCATTGTAACATCATTTATAAACAGAACTAGGGTTGCCACCTGTACTTTATTATAAAGTATTGTACAGTATTTCTGGTAATTATACTCTATACTTTATGCTAACAATAAAGTACAAGAAAATAGTTTACTTAATGTGAATTGATTACTCGGGGATTAATTTTAAATAAAATATACAAAAAGGGGGTGATGTATATTTTTTGCGTCAAACAGACAGTATGAATATGACGCCCTTAACTAATTCAACATTGCAACATTTTCGTGGCTGTATGGCTTTGTACCATGGCCTTTCCCATTGCTGAAAAGAACTACAGATTTTTAGTAGGCACAAATTATTTAATAGAAGTTGCTAGTTATATATGTAGCAACGTAAAATATATTTTTAAGCTTACTAATAAAGTGGAATAAAAAGTACTTTATTTTGAAAGCAATGTACTTTTTGTTTACCTTTAATATCCAAATGTACACCGGTATTTCGGTGGCAACCCTAAACACAACCACGCGGTTTAGCGTTAGTAACTTCCAAGTGTTGGTAATTATTGCATCGTTTTGATGTCCAGCCGCGCCTATCGACAGTTAATGTAAATAATTTTCATGTTACGCTCACGAGAAAATAAATGGGACACATAACCTTCATCCGTTCGTCAATGGTAAGGTGTGGCTACTTTGAACTTAAAATAGAAACTCTCCCAGCAATGATGGACATAAATTTCGAACTATCTGATATACCTATTGCTGAAGTGGTCACAAGTAACAGAAATGGCTAGCGGTAATTAAAATGACAATCCCAACTTAAAAAAGGAGTTTCAGATAGTTTCAAAATGATAATAGAAATTCGTTGATATACTTTTACAAGTAAATCATGTTATTTTTAACACTAATTAGCCTAGCCCCAAAGTAAGCACTGTAGGCTTGTGTTATGGGATGCTAGGGTACGTACTTATTTAAATATATTTATATAGAATTAGAAATACATATTAAACATCCTGGAGTACAAATGCTTGTATTGATCACACAAACTCCCCCACCGGGATTCAAAACCGGCACCTCTCGAGTAGGCGACACTTTGAAACCCGGCGTTCATACAACTCGACCACGGAGGTCGTCGCTTACCCAAAAATAACCTATATGTCAAATGTTTTTATTAACCTTAAACATGATTGGCATGAAATTGATTCTGACTTAGAAAATATATTTGAAACTTATTATTCACTTATCCTTTTTCTGTGTTTTATTACTATCTGCGTAGGGTAGGGGGTGTTACCAGCTGGCCTATTTTTAATTTTAAGCTACCAAATTGTATAATTTTGTCTTTCTAATGATATCTTTAATTTTTCAGTTGAAAAGAGAATAATTATTATTTTCATAATGACTCTTTGTACTAGCTAGTTGTAAAGTGTGGAAGTTAGTTTACTATTTTCCTGTGGTCAAAGCACGAATTTTGATATCTCTGTAATCGTATCGCATTGTCAAAGTTTCTATGAAAACTAAGCAGCACACCCACCCGGACGAAAGGACAAACTGGCTCCGTCCATACAAAATTTGACGATGACGATTCGATTACGGAGCTGTAAAAGTTCGTGCATGCTTTCGTCTCTGTTTTCGAGGACATTCCAATAAATGCGAGCAGCCCTTTCAGATGGGCGGCGAGAACTTCTTCACTTCGTCGCCGATGCCGAGCGCCATGGTGACGGTGGGCGCGCTGTCCAACGGCTCAATAGACGACCTGCGCAAGCGCACCTTCGACGACTACTGCGAGAGCGATGACGATTTACGCAGGGAAGACATCATGTTCCCCACCGATCCGCATATGGGTAACGCATACTGATTTTATGATTTATGAATTATGGACATCAGCCTACTAATGCCCCTACTGTTGGGCCAGAGGCCCACGGATGGTATAGGGAGTTTGGGCCTTGACAACGCGGTCCCAGTGCATATTGGTGAGTGCTAACGAATGTAGATGCAGCGGCGACCAACGGCTTAATGTGCCTATCGATTTTTGATGAAATTTGGTATTGGATTTGATACTTAATATTGAGACGTATATAAAACTTTGAACCTAAATAAAAGTGGGAGAGAGTTTATAAGAGTTTTATTATTATATGCAAATTATAATAATAGTATGAATACATATACAAGTCAAGACAGACCATCCAATGTTAAGTTTGAGTGAAGATCAGAGTGGAACTCAGTTTGGAAGCCTAAATTATATTTTAGGTACAACTCTTTAATTATAACAGAGATTAACAGGAGTTTTTTAATAAGATTAATTTTTGTGCCAATATCAATAATAACTATCCTTTGCTAACAGATGGTAATAATAGCAAGCGGAGCAGCTTGCAGAGTCGAGGCAGCACTTCCAGTCTCCTTGAAGGCAGCCTCACACCTCGATCTCAACCCCCTACTCCTAGGTCTGTACTGCTTTAATTATCTATATTATTTCTGTAAAAAGTCCTTATTTTTTAAGTATAGCTGTTGTTCTATAGCCTAAGTAGGCTTTCTTATAAAGCTCAAGTAAGCTAAGTATTGGAAGCCACATAGTAACGTGCACAATTTTAACACTAGGAATAGAAACAAGCTTGCATTGCCAGCCTACAGGTTACAGAAGGTTTACCGATTTTTTATGGGTCAAGGTATACATTTTTACAATAAAATTCCTGATGCTGTTCTTGAGTTACCCATAAATAAGTTCAAATGTCACATTAAAAGTTGTTTACTTTAGAAAGGCTATTATACTATTAAAGAATACTTGAATGACAAAACTGCATGGCTGTAACTGCAAAATTGTGTACAGTGTCGTACAGATAAATTACCCTAACTCTAAGTAACTATTTTGCAGTTTGGTTTGAGTGGTTATGGGTAGTCATGCTCTCTTAAAAATATCTTCGGCGGTGTCGTGTGAGGTGGGTCGTTGCGTTCCCTAAAATATGGTTGAGCAAAGCGATGGCTGGTTCACGCGTCATGCTCGTGAACGGGTGCTGCCAGCGGAGATGAGTCTGCTCTATACTACTTTATTATTGTAATGATAATTATTATTAAATTTAGATTGTATTTTACTTGTATTTATACTGTATGACACAGCAATCAAAATGTAAGTGAACATTTATTATTTCTCTGATAAGGATTTAGTGGCGGTGTGGATTCTGGTATGGTTTTCTAGACCTGAACTTGGTTTTGGAGCGGTGTATCCTTGACATTCTCTATACAGACTGAAAAGGGGGGACTGATGTTGGATTTGGTTTTGGGTTGGGAGAGTATTGCCAGAGTCGACAACGGTGTTTGGGTGATCACATGCATGTGTCCTGCCATTGTGTTTATAGTTTGTTGTAATAATGTACACTGGTACCTATATATATATATATTTTTTTCTATTTTTGTAACATGGTATCCATGTGTGGTTATGAGTAGTCATACTCTCTTAAAAATCTCTTCGGTGGTGTCGTGTGAGGCGGGTCGTTGCGTTCCCTAAAAAATGGTTGAGCGAAGCGATGGCTGGTTCATGCGTCATGCTCGTGAACGGGTGCTGCCAGCGGAGATGAGTCTGCTCTTAATTCACTGGGTACTATTAATCGTTGTTCTAAACTTTAATCGTTCATTATTATTATTTTTTTTTTGCCTAAACGGTAGGACACGTCATTCCTAAACTTTGTTAAACCATTTTTTTTTTTACATATTTTTATTTTTTATTTTATAGTCATAATTTTTATATTATTTGCATTTTTTTTGTTTGTAATGAAAAGTGACTTTATGAGTTACCTCATATTGAAGTCATTTTTCAATTTGACGACTCTGTATATAATACAGGGAGAAAAAAACAGCCCTTGCTGAGTTTCTTGCCGGTTCTTCTCAGTACAAGGTCTCCCGCCGTAGATTTGCGAACCGATGGCGTAGCTTTTCGACATTCACAAGTGCTTGTGCCTAGACTGAATAAACGATATAGAATTTTTTGAATTTTGAATTTTTGAAGTTGCTTGTGATATTGTTGTAATTATTGATGTCAGTCATAGCCATCAAATAGGCATCAATAGACATATTACTATAATGTGATAGCTTCGTTTGGTCTTGAAATACAAATTGAAATTGATAGGTCTATTTAAATTAAAAAATTTAAATAACTTACTTATAATGTCAACTAGATTCTGTTTGAATCTGCGCGACAATGTTAGTAAACTTAATGTCTTTGTGTGCGTGATAGAAATGACGCTTTATTCTGAGCCGTCTTGGCACAAGCGCAGTGGTTACACTTTGTGGTTATACTGTTATATACGATCAAACCAATTGATTTCCGACGCACTTGTCGTATAATACGTTTAAAAATTTCACAACAGACCAGTTTTCCTTTGTAGGAAATGCTTAATTTCACTTAGGACCTTCTAATAACAAAAAAACTGTGATAATATGGATAAAAGATATTCGAAACTTGACCTTGTTTTTAACGCAATAGATCATGTTATAGTATAAATTGGAATAGTAGTTTGGATTTCTAAATCACTTTTAATATTGTAAATGTAACAAAAACTCGTTTGATTTAGTCCATGGGCAAAACTACAAATAATTTAATGTCTAAGTTATGTCACAGGAAGGTGAGAAAATCTGCCACGTCAAATATGATTGTTCAGACAATAACAAGTTTGTTTCCAGGGATACGTACATTTAAACAAAAATCTTCCTTAATGTTTTCAAACAAAATAAGTAACAAAATAATCTTATGGTGAATCAGGAATAAAATTGGCTGATTGTACGTTTGGTTTTGTATCGTATTCTAGCTATCTGTATTTCTATTTTAGATCTCAAGCGGCAACACCGCACAAGTACAAAAAGGGCGATGTCGTATCAACGCCCACTGGTATACGTAAGAAGTTTAACGGCAAGCAGTGGAGGCGGCTCTGCTCCAAGGACGGCTGCACCAAAGAGAGCCAGAGGCGCGGGTTCTGTTCCCGACACTTGTCTCTCAGAGGGGTCACCAGGTCCTCGAATACTCCATTGGCTCAGGGATCTACGCACACTCCACAGCAGAGGTATGTTTTATTTGTAGCGCATGAAAGTTTCATAACGTTGAAGCCCTTGGAAAAGGAAAAGGTTCGATGTCTGCTAGATAAAAAAAAACAATATTTTCGGTTGACAACGTGGTGAAGCGTTATTCGTAAGAAGAAGCATCCGTAAGAAGTTTGTGGCGGCGGCATCTACAAGCTTCACATACATAACCAATGGAGGATGAAATCACTCGTGTTGTCAAGAGATGGCGGTCCTGGCGATGCAATCAATGGTTTGGAAAGCCTACATCGCGCAAGAGAAATTCGTAGGCTACCACTTTATGTATACAATGCCCGACCAACATCAATCGGGCCTCGTTCACCGAGCTAAAATTACCCAGCTCGGTGGAAAATCTTCCCTTTAGTCTTCTAACACTTGTAACCCCCACGTGATCCTACAAGTTTACGGCAAGCAGTAGCGGCGATTTTTCTGTAAGGACAGTTGCACTAAAAAGAGCTAGACGCGCGAGTTCTGTTCCCGACACTTGTCTCTCAGGGGGGTCACCAGGTAATCGAATACTCCACTGGCTCAGGGATCTACGCACATACCACAGCAGAGGTATTTTATATCTGCTGCGCATGAAAGTTTTGCAACATTCAAGCTTTTGACAGCGAACCCGCTATCTGCTAGATAAAAAAAAGTTTTCGGGTGTAAACGTGGTGAAGCATTTTTTCTCATTTGTTGGCTATCCAGCCCAAGAGCAGAAACAGGATCTACGGTGTAGCGAGCTTACCCAGAAGGAGCCATTTTAATTTTTCGTGACCTTCTTCGCAACCTCCTCCTGCAAGATAATTTTCTCGCAGATGGATTGCAGTTTCGCTGTGACCAAAATTGATCCGTGTCAAAAATTATGTTTAAAACCTAAATAATTTAAAAAAGAAAAAGCATTTAAAATTCATAACTAAATAATTTTGAAATAAACATATTTATTATAACGCCGTATCCTGAGTGCAGTAGGTAGAGAGAAGGCCTAATTTTGGCGTTTGACAGCAGTCTCTCTTCATTCTCTAAAGAGCATGATAAGGCTAGACTACTGTCAAAAGTGTATCCACGATACACGGAGTTACGACGAAATATGCCGTAAATTGCCCTTATCATCATCAGCCTATTAATGTCCCCACTGCTGGGGCACAAGCCTAGAATAGGGAGATTGGGCCATGACTCACCACGCGGGCCCGGTGCGAATTGGCGGGTGCTAACGACTGCAGATGCAACTTAGCTAAGTTGCTTAACTTCAACGATCGCAACCGACCGCGCTAACTACCCGCGCCATCGAGCTCCTAATTTGCCCTAACCCAGAGGAAATAAATATAATATATGGGAAAATTTTAATAAAAACCTTGTGATATTCCGTGGTACTTCACCCGCACCGTTTTACAACACAAATAGATATAATAATGCTATCTTGAAGTAATTATGAGTTATATACGAAACACCGTCATTTATACCGAAATTATCAATAATATGACGCGACCTATTCGTATTCAAGCCGAGCGAACGAGAAACAGAACTACCCTTCAATATTAATGAATAAAATTGACGTAAATAACAATTTATGTTTGTAAAAATGCCCAGGAACCGTTTGTCTAGCAAATATGGGTGTCCTACGGATAAATGACGTCACACGGCTCTCATTAAGACGTACAAAGTAATGACACTTCAACACAAGCAGATGATGTCATTTTAGGCTCAGCCAATCCACATTTTAATCGGTTTTGGTCACGTGACAATAGATAAAAAATTACTTTTCTATTTTATGATTTTAAGTAATATTATCAAGTACTGTTTTGTCGGAATAGATTAATCAAGCTTGTTCATGTTCATTCATGTTCAATATACAATCAAGCTAATAATTGGTGCTTTATTTTTCATAACCATAATCATAATCATTTATTCAGTGTAGGCTGTTACAAGCACTCATGAATTTCTAGAAGCACTCAATCGGACACTTTGTAATAAGTTTTCTTAACAAGTGATTTTTTAATGGTCGATTTAAATTTAGTCAGTGTTAACTACTGCCTGCTACTGTCCAATAACCTATTGTTATATTTATTTGTCATGGTGTTTTGTTCCCTGCCTTGACGAGGAATGTTACTTCAATCCTATAACCCATGTTATTTTTATTATATCTATAACAGACTCGGCAAATTCCTAACGTTCTTCTACAATGATCGTTTACCGTTACTTGTATAAAGCGCTTGTTCCAGAAGCAGTAGCAAGTCTCTGTCGTCGAGCGGCACGGGCGTTGAAGGCGACGAGACTTCCCGCGAGTCCGATACTACACCGCCGCACTATCGAGTCACTGGGCGCTTCGACCCGGATGAGACCGAGGCTGCTAATATGCTGGGTATGTCAATATTTGGAAATTTTTACTTATAAATGTAAAGATTTGACCAGCACTTCCCGCGAGTCTTATCAGCACTATTGAGTCACTGGGCACTTCGACCCAGATGAGACGGAGGCTGCTAACATGCTGGGTTTGTCAATTTTTGGAAATTATCACTTATAAATCTAAAGATTTGACCAGCACTTCCCGCGAATCTTATACTGCACCGCCACACTATCGAGTCACTGGGCGCTTCGACCCAGATGGGATATATGCTGGTTATGTCAATATTTGGAAATTTTAACTTATAAATCTAAAGATATGAGCGGCACGGACGTGGGAGTCGACAAGACTTCCCGCGATTCTGATATCATTCCAACGCACTGTCGAGTCACTGGACACTTCGACCCGGATGAGACCGAGTCTGCCAATATGCTGGTTAAGTTACTATTTCGAAATTTTAACTTATAAATCTAAAGATTTGACCAGCACTACCCGCGAGTCTTATACTACACCGCCGCACTATCGAGTCACTGAGTGGTTCGACCTGGATGAGACTGAGGTTGCTAATATGCTGGGTAAGTTACTATTTATGTGAGGTACGGTATAGCAGATTATGCGCTGGAATTGGAACTGCCTGTCTAGGGAAGTAACCTCCACCTTACAGAAGACAGTTAAATAACACATCTTTTGATGGCGTATGGGACATGGCATTGGGTCAGGGTAGGCTACGCCGCGAGTGATATAATTTTTGTAGCGCCAGCGCCATCTGGTGGGCGAAATGATTGTTTGCCACCCTTTTAACATAAAAAAATACTAACATATCGTTTGGTTTTCTACTAATAGTTTTTAGGCAGCGATTATACGATTTGACAGATGAGGAGATCTCAGTGTTGCCACCTGGCGCCCGTCATTCCATAAACCCTTATAAGGCCCCTTAAATTTAATTTTGAATAGGAATTATCATATAAGTGTGTTCAATAACTTATTATCCAGAAATATAGTTCATTATTTATGTCTATATTATTTCCTGTTCCATATATCCCTACTGACATATCTCCATTAAGAACCTTTGAAAACTTATCCCCACTGGTAGCGATAAATGAAAAATAAAATCCAACTATCGCTACCAGTGCGGATCAGTAGGGATATATGGAATATAAAGTTCCTTCTATCCCAACCGGAAGCAATAATTGGAAAAATAACTCAGTGTCCATTCTAGTGGAGATATATCAGTAGGGATATATGGAACAGGGGTGTAATATAACTAAAATCTTTGTCCTACAAGCTGTTAGGGGTCAACAACATCAAAGTTCTTAACGTCGACGTGCAATTTTGAGTAACAAATCAAACGATGACATATTAATAAAATAACAGTCATAAGAGATTAAAAAACTCACGATATCTGCGAATAGCCCGTATCCTCCGCGCAGTTTTGTTTTAAAGGTAACAGGAAAACCGTCAATAGCATGATTCAAACCATTGTGCTATGAATGGAAACTCCCTCTATAGTATGAATGTCAAAGGATTTGAATACATTATAGTAAGAGCGAATCAAAACGTTGGACGGAAAACGTTGTAAATGCCGCGGTAGCATAATGGTCAGTGCATTCGCCCGGATAGCGGAGGGTGTGAGTTCGAGTCCCGTCTGCTGCCAGGTGCTTTTCTAGTAAAGGAGAATGCCCATATTTGGTACAGCTTTGTCTCATGCCTCAAGATAAAATTATTATGATAATTATTTTCTTTAATTTATACGTACGATGGTCTATCAGAATGGCTATTTTGAACAGGGAATAATTTTAGAAATAATATTAGTCATAATACTGTTTATATTTTGAGCCGGATATCTGACGTTTGTTTATTTATCGTAAAAATAGGGATGCCATAGTACCCTATTAGTTATACATTATAATTGTTGTTTTTGTTACCGATGAGTGGACAATCAAAAAGCAAATAAATCACGTGTTACTAATTATTGTTTAATAGTGATTTTACGTTTTTATTGTCTTAACTGTTGCGATGACAACTCGTCATTTATCTATTTCGTCTCTATGCTTAATACGTCGCATTCAGTAACCCGTCGCTTGGCTTAATTCGACACTTTCCTATCACGTCCCTTGCTGTATGTAGTGTCTACTTACTGAATGTAACGTGTTAAGCATAGAGATGAAAATGATAAAATGTCGAGCATGTAGGTAGTCGGACAAAAAGAGTCACGTGCTTACCCAGCGCTTTGTCTTGCCTACGTAGTCTAAAGGCCTTATAACGCAAAATACAATAATTGTACATTGGCTTGTGCCGCGTCCTGTTCTACGTCCATAAAAGTATCTAAGTTAGAGAGGGACGGACGACAAAGAGAGGCTAGTTAATCTGTGCAGGCATGCTCTTAGGTAAGACGGAACGTGTAGCCGGGGTATTCGAATCTAAGTTTAAAAAATCGACACGTATTAATAATGTTAAAGAAGGTTAATTCCGCGGAAATCATTAATCGTTGTTTTTATAGAAGGCGCTCACCTAACTGTCGATTTCATCATTAACTAAGTAGTAACTAGTAATTATATTTATTTCTATGCTGTTTATTAATTAATTGAATCTGGATTTATTTGTATCTGATTTGATTTATTCATTGCGTAAAATCGATTTTAAACAAAAACATTTTTTTTTCAATTCAACGATTATTCGTATATTCAATGTCAGATCATCATCACCCTACCCTATAACCCTATTGCAAATGCAAATGAGTGGGGAATTGTCAAATATTTTGTTGTTACTCCTATTTTTGTGTTGATTGAGTTTTTTACATAAATTGTGAAGTGATAATGATTGCGTGTGAACGTATCAAACGATTTTGTTTCTGAATTGTTAAGACAGGCAAGACGTTTTCAGAAAAAAAACAGTGCATTCACGACAGGACGTTTATTTACCGTATGTGTGTTTGTAGTGTTCTCTACTCACGCATTAAGAACATTAAAAATGTATTCTACTTCAAATGAGGAACCGATGACGATTAGACTATTTGACTGGTTAAACCAGTGTATTGTAAAACTGTATTTCCAGGGCCCAAGAGGTGATACTTGATATTTTTTTGTAGAAGAACAGTTTAGCCCTCAACATATTATAGTCATGGATAATTCCTACTCAGGTGAGCTAATATTGTTTGTCTAATGTCATGTGCAACTAACTGTATGAAATATATATTAACTGTTTTGTTTGACTTCTTAAAAAAGTAATAACAGTTCTAGATACTTAGGTTAGGAATCATTTACTATCACAATCTTATGAGAAAACTATTATTACTGTGTATTATTATTGCATATCATACATAATTACAAATCTAGAACTAAAATGTTTATAGTAATCATGGTAACATTTAGATTTTCTTTTATTTGTTTTGTTATCACTAGACAGCTAATAGATGATGAGAGAATACAGAAATTCCTACATTGATTTGTAGACATCATATTTTAACTTTTATAACTTGCAAGAGTTAACTTGAGACCTATCAAACTGTTATTTTAAAATAAACAAAAAGGAATTTTCCATATTAATTATTCATTTCTTATTAATGTTATATTTTAGATCTCAAGAATGGAACATGTATGTGCTGCATGTTGGAGATCAGCAACTCAACAAGTACAAAAGCAACAACAACATGACTCAAATCGCCTTACTCTTGGAGATACTACATTAAGTGGCAATCGTTCTATACCTGTGCCACCTCCTCTGCCACAAACAAGACTAGAAGCAGTTCAACAAGTGACTCTAAAAATTGTATCATCATCATAATACATGCTGCTAACTCTCCTGGTCACTGTGTATTTGAAAATTGTTTAGAGCCTGAATGTCTACTTATTTCATCTACCATCAGGAATCTCTTATTGTATAATAATAAATTGTGCATACCAGCTGGTGCATGTGTTTGTCATCACTATTTGAATTATGGTTCATGGAATGAATTAACATCTTAATTAAGAGATTTTACTGGCACACAGTTTGATAATGTAATGATTATGATACAGCGAATTGGCTGATCGCTGTATCATAATCATTACATTATACAAATTAGATTTTTCTAATATTTCAATTATGTCTCCTCATTTATGTCATTATTGGCTTGGTATGAACTCTGAACAGTTTTATAATTTGCTCAACTGTATACCAATCTAGCAGATCAAGTGCCAAACGCTTCTATAGCCTTTTGTATTTATTTAGTTAAATTAAGAACTGCTGATAGCAACGAAAGATTGGCCACTCTTTTCAATAATCCTGGAGCTACATTAGAACGCTGTAAGACAAAAGCTAGAAATTGTTTGAATTTGTTTGTTTGTAGATGATATTCCTCTTGTTTTAGGTCTAAATAATTATTTATTAAGAGGTAGGATTAAATCCAGATACTTAAGCAGCGTACATATAACTCATATTTACTAATCAGTAGAGATGCTGCTTTGGCAGACACATTAGAGGCTATAAAAGGTTATTATTGCAGCTGTCTCATTGGTAAACAACCTGTGGGCTGTTAGGACCACATAATGACTGTAGTTTAGTTTTTAAGTTGGGGTCGTTACAATGATGTTACTGCTCTGGCGCCTTATTTAGATTATTTTTTCCATGAAGATTATGTTGATTTGAAATATACTGGTAATTCAAATATAATGTGTACAATTAATATATGTAATCTAATAAAAAGTGTCTTATTAATGTTTTTATTTACCTATACGTAAGTCTGCCATCACTGAAATCTGTGTTGTCATGAAAATCTATGCAGTAGGTTTCAAAAACAGTGAAAGACTCAAGTTGATCAAAAGTAACAGAATAAAAAAGTACCCAAAATTGCTGTAAACCAACTTTAAATAGGAGTTATTAAGGATTTGAGGTTATGTCACATTTTTTACAATAACATTAAAACCCCTGTTTTTATTTTCAAAATTCCAATTTGTCATACTAATTTGAATATTAAACGATCATTTAACATTTGTTTGGTATTGATACAACCATTGTACGGCGGTCCATACATCCATGAGCATTCTCCTTTGCTTCAGATTTAAACATCTAGCAGTAAACTGCTTAAAAATAAAAATATGACCTAAAAAGTTCAAAGTAGACATATCGGTTCTTCTTATCAAACTTGGTTCTTTGACTACAGAGTTACAATTTTAACTTATTAAGTCAAGTTAGATATTTAAAATGATCCGTACTCACATACGGTATTATTCGATAGTTAAATTTAACTCTAAAGCGAGTAAAAATCAACGTGGCGCGTCTTACGAACGAGCCTCCGAGTTAGGAGTTTTGCGGTCCACAAGTTGTAATATCGAGTTATACCTTATCTGAGGATGGACCATAAGATTATTGGTCAAATAGACTCAGCGGTTTAGCCGGAAAACACTAAACAGACAGAAAGACAGTTGTTTCCAAATATTTGTAATAATTAGTATGGATTAATATCATGTTTACATTACACAATAAAGCTTAATTCATTTATACGCCGTTTCAGCTGATTATTGTGTTTTGTTGTAATCTCATTTGATATTGTGTGTACGTCACGCCCACACTCTTTGATGCTGGCTGGTTATTTCAATGTGTGACGTCACACGAAACGATGTTTTTTCAGATAGTGTTCAGTAATCGGCCACGTGAAATTTATTTTCATCGGTTCACGTTTGCGTAAAAGCACGTGATATTTACTCGTAGTTTTGCAGGAACGATTTGATTGTTTACGAATCCTACAATTTGCTAGCCTTCTTGTACGAGTAGACTTCAGCTCGCTTCAGGAGCCCACAAATAATTAATGCATTTGAGTAAAACCCGTTCTTCCGTACATCTTTAGAAAATGAGTGTGCGTCATTGCCAGGGGCATATTTTAAAATCTACTGGCCGGTTTCTCTAAGATTTGCCAAACCCGCAAAAAGTATTTTCCAGCACCAGGTTTTCCAGAAGTATGATGAAATTCTCTATTCGTGTTTGTTTCATCGTAAGAAAATGATAAAACTATCTTTTCATTACCAGAAATGTTTATAAGACAGTGATTTACTCTTTACATTGGGTACATAACGCATGCTGATAAATTTTTGTTTCTATTTATTGGGAAAGGATCACTTTCTTAGTTCTTATTTAAACAATTTATGAATATGTATATAGCCAATCCATATTGACACTAGGATCATTGAGTATGAGTATGCTTCATAGTGGTAACTCTGTTCTAAGCTTAAGAGTAAGTTCAGACGGTCGCAAGACGACGCGCGTACATTGTAACGCTCGTAGTGTTTTCTTAATCATCGTGCTACCAAGTTAAGATGGTCGCGATTGCTTTTAAATCTTGCATATTTTGAAAAAGAAAGAGCAACAGGAGAGCGCTTGAGGCTATTCGGAACAACACGTAACAATAATTTATTACATTTTTCTTTAAAAATAATTTAGGATTTTGGAGTACGTCCAAAGGATCTTCAAATACGATCACCAATAAAAAAAACTACGAATGACTTTACTACGTCCTTTTAAAATTCCCGTAATAGGACTACTGGGAATACACGCCTCATAACATTCAGTTTGGTAATTTTCGCTGTCGAAAGATGTATTAACACGCTCATAATTGTTTCCCCACAGTGTCGTTGGGTAGTTCCCGCTCCGGCAGCCCTGGGGCTTCCCCCGTGGGTGGGGGCGCTTCCCCCGCCCTCAGGAACAACGTGTTCGTGCCGATCTCTTCACCACAACCTCAACCACCACATGGATCTTCGATCTACCACCACCATTTGATAAGGTGAGACGAAACTTAGACTAATATCTGAAGAAATTTAGAACCTGTGGCCTATTTACATTGTTTCCAAACAGTGTCGTTGGGCCACAGAAACATGTTCTTTGAAATAAAATGTCAATTTTTACAGGCCAGAGTTGGTGCGGCCTGGTCGAGCTAGTTCTCCCATCGGAAGTGTCGCCACCAGCGTCATCAGGGTATCTCCGGCTCCTACATATTATCAGGTAAATTATTATAAGTTATCGTATTGTATTCTAAGCATGTTAAATAAAATAATAAACTATTGCTCATTTGGATAAGCCGTAAAAAATGCTGACTTGCACTTCTTAAACCACAGGACATGGTCCAAAAGTGGTATTATAATTTAAAAGGTTGTTTTAGATTATCACATGAACAGATACTTTATATTTTTATCTATCTCCTGTTTAATTTAGATCGTGTTTAAAAATTGAATAATTTTGTAAAGATGCGGGACACCCTGTCATAATTAACGTCACATTTTGAGTGTGTGACAGCTTATAACGTCTACTTCACTATGGCAAATGTCAATAAAGTCAGTCAAGCATAATATTCGTGAAAATGCAATGAAGTTATTATACCAAGCTATGGAAAATTCTTCTTGCAATGAAATGCCTAATAATGTAATGAATGTTGAACAGAATCGTTATTGCTGATTTAGTTGCCTATTGAATAGAATATATTTGATGCTTTGGCCACAAAAAATAGATAAATAAACTTGCCATTTGCCAATAAATAATTATATAATTTTATATTATAATAATTATTATTAAATAAAAGGGTATAAAATAAATTCTACTTTTTTTTGCAAAACCATTTAGAATTAAGTGTCCTACGTGACACAAAAACTGGAGTCTGCCGAAGACTGACTACCACCCCAAAGTTGTATATAACTTTGAACTGTCTCTTTTAAAAGCTCATTATGTTTTGCATTGTTCAACTCTATTTGACTTTACACAATTGACAAAGATTTAATGATCTGTTACATAGAGGATTTTCCGCTAGAACTGAGGCCCGAGCACGAATTATTGACAGCTCTGTAATGTATCGTCATCGTCAAATTTTGTTTGGATAAAGCTAGTTTGTTCTTACGTCCGATAACCGAGACTTGGACGATGTGATACGTTACGGAGTTGTCGAATATTCGTGCTTGGGCCTTCATAATTACCTGGTGAAAATTTCATGTTAGAACTACTCTTATTGTATACTTTATTGTAGGGTTGTATATTTCCTTGCTGCCAGTAAATAAGGTTGCCATAGCTTCATTGGGCAAGGTTAAGGTAGTTATGCTTACGGAAACGGGCTACCGGTGAAACCTAAGTTAGCTTTAAGATTTTTAAGAAAATTTGTGATTAACTGACCGCTCCACTTCTTCGTTTCCGTGAACTTAGTATAGTGTAGCACCTATCCACCTTTTGTCTGAGCCAATATTCACCATAAATATTTATCCATCCAGGTGGCCGAAAACCGCAACGGACCAACGAATCTGCACGCGAACAATTTAAGCTCGCAAGCCAACGTGATCGGAGTCCAATCTTCAGGCCTCAGCATTCAGAGCTCAATCCAGAATAGTTTGAATGCACCAACTAGCCTTCAGTCCAGCATAACGCTGCCTTCTAGCATATCACTAAACTTGAACAACATAAACACCCAAGATTTACAAAACAATCTACAAACAAGTATAGCTAACAGCATTCGTACTAACGAAATACCGCACAATTTAGTCGTACCTCGCAGCATAGTTTCTTCCAACGGCATCGACATAGACGTTTACAGACAGCCTTTACATCTAAGGAATGGAATTCATGATTACAGAAGAGAGAGTGACGTTAGCCCAACAATGAATAATCATGAGAATTTTTTAAGTAGAAGAGTCTCGGAGTATGAGGACGAAGATCATACGCCTCAAAGGGATGGTATACATCGGAATGTGATCGACAGACCGCCGGAGCTGTCCGAGACTCGAGTCATGGAAGATAACAAGAGAATTGGTATGATATTTGATATTCTGAGCACGTTAATAAACTAAAGTTTATAAGTTATAATTTTATTTTCAATGAAGGTGTTAAGTAAAACATAAAACGGGACTCGAACCCGCACCCCTCGCTATCCGGGTATGCTACCGCGGCCCACGGCACGACACGGCCGTCACCGTGTGGAATTATTTCTAGCCTTTCTCAAGTTGCAAGGCAGCGCCATCCCTTCGCATTGTAGGTAACTCACAATGTCAAATAAATACTTTTAGAAGTATTAAACATTGGAAAGAAGAAATATCAATTATCGTTCTAATTTTTATTTTTTAAGCATGTAACTGCTCGATGTTTAAACATCGATGTTAAAAAATAAAAATTATAATATAACAAAAAAAAATATGAAATCCAAAATTTAAAAATAAAATATTTTTGTAAAAAAAAGTGACAATTTGTCGAAGGTGGTTATTTTATTTACAGACATTAACCGCCTTAGTACAAAACGTAGACTAAAGTAAAACCTGGACTAAATGCTGATTCTGTCACTTTTGTTTGCTTAAAAAAAAACAGACAACATAAGGTTTAAATAAAGACTAGCGTTTTGAAATAAAGGGGCAAGTGTTATTTTATTACCTTCTCAATAGAGCTCTAATATTGCAAATTATTTCATTTACAAAGTTATTGGCATAATATATTAATATCTCGAGTTATTGGAAATGTTATTATATCATAATGTCTAACAAAATATTGGTCTTTTATCTTTAAATGTATGTGTATAAAACAAATCTAAGTAAAAATATAAACTTTACACTTTGTACCCCTGGTGGGACTCGAACCCACAATCCCCGGCTTAGGAGGCCGATGCCTTATCCATTAGGCCACAGGGGCTCTGGTTGAATTGACAAAATTTACTATCATTTTATATTCTGCATATTACTTTATATATATATATATATATATATATATATATACGATATATATATATTACGCGTAATTACGCGTCACGTAGTTGTCCGGGATGGACTCCTAAACTACTTAACCGATTTTATTAAAGCGTGCAGTTTGATATAGCTTACATCGCAATTTATAGTCGCAATATTATGTTATTGCAATTTATCACTTGGGCGGTACGAAGTTCGCCGGATCAGCTAGTCTCTCATAAAATAGAAATTGGTGAGCTCGTTAATATGTCCAAGGAAATATTTCTGAACTAAAATCAGATTATATTATTTAACCTTTATAATATATCAGGAAACTATAACTTGTATACATATTAGGCACTTGTCCCACCGTCGCGATGAACGAGAAGCGAGTAAGGCTAGAAACGATTTTGCAAGCAGCGGGAACCTATTGTGTAGTTTTATCGCTGGGCTATAAGCTAGTGTGCGAGAACAACGGGCCATTACACGCGCCACTCGCTCACGGAGACAATCCTGAGCAAAATAGCATGCACTCGCGTTTTGATACAACCGAGCGTCGTTGAGCGAGTATTATCTTTGTTACTTAGTATTGTCGCTCAGCGGCAAACTAGTGCAGAGAGTTTTCGCCGGTAGTGTGAACAATCAGCGATCAACTAATAATATATATGCATTTTTTTGTTGACACGGAATGTATATCTATTGTACCTTTTATTTCTCGTCGGCGGTCGGACTAATGCCTTATCAACTCATACTAGTTCAGAGTCGAAGCGCATTGAGGCTTCAATCAGATACTAATAAAGCAAATTCACCATTATCTCCGCAACCAAAATGAACATATTTCTTCCGAGATAAAAAGAAGACGCGCGATTTTGCGTGCATTTGACGGAAATCCCGCATATTTATTAGCTCGGAGGCTCAAACACGAATTTCGGCAGATCAAATGGCATTCTAAAATGTTGTAAATCTTCAACATTGAGCCAAAGAATTTCCGACCTTATATACCTACATATATTGTAATTTGTTTGTTTTTAGTGAAACCGGCGCCCCTACACACCCGCTTCGTTTCCGTGGTCGACGCGGACGCGAAGGACTCCATAAAGCGGTACTATGTGTTACCACCCAACACTATATGCGAGAAGAAGTTCGTGCTGATAAAAAACGAGCCAGCGGAGACACTTCAAGTAAGTATCTCACAATACTGTATGAAAAAACTGGGAGAAAAATTAGCTCTTGTTGAGTTTATTGCCAATTCTTCTCAGTATGAGGTCTCCCGTCGTAGATTTCACAAGAGTTTGTTCTCAGCTCAGACGGAATAAATGATTTTGAAGTCTACTTGCATAACACAGGTAACACAGGTGGGCGTATCTTTTAACAATACGCCGAGTTGTCAAATCTGTTTATTTTGAACTTTACGCCGAAAACTTTAAAGTTGAATAAAATTTTTTGAAAAAGAATTTACCTTTACCATTACCAGTTAGTGGTCAACGTTGTTTGGAAAATAATGCTTCACTGTCTGTTCAGAGACTTCTCATATTAACCTGTTAAGTATTAAATTCGAGAGTTAGTAAGTTAGTGATAATTACTTTATCTGTGTAAATGAGGAGTTCCTAATTTGGTTTTGTATATTTCAGCTAGAGCAGAAGATGTCTCAATTGGGTCAGCAACTTAACAATAATGAACCAGAATCTGAACCAAGGACTCTTGATAATGGTGTCAACGATCATGTAAGTTATATTTTATATCATATTATAGTGGAGCAAAGAATTCGAAAGATGAAATCATGTACATAATGCCTACACAACCTATATAACATATGAAAGGGAACTGTCGGTAATTAACTTAGATCGCCTGTTAAAAGTTATGAAACTAACAAATGATTGAGAACAGACTATTTTAATAAAAATACTGCGGTCAAATATTGATATAAGACCTATCCAATAACTTCAAGTAGGACCAAATTACACACTGTAAGTCAAACTTCATCAAGACTCGTTTAGCCCCCGTAGCATGAGCACTACAACTTACATTATATCATGTTTTCAACGCGTCTAACTGTCAAACTCCATAGCAATTTGACAATTGAGCGTGATAAAAACGCGTTATATATCATATGGCGGTACTCATGCTAGGGAGGCAGGGTTTTCCAGGAAAAACAACAAATAGTGACAATACCGCATTTAGAACCGTACCTGGATTCCAAAAAACGTACTGTTTGTGATAATATAACTTAAAACTAATTAAAGAAATTGCGGGTAAGATGTTATTGCCAGACATATCGGTCTACTCGCTGACGACAATCCCTCTACCCGCTTACTCGCACGTGTTCTCGAGACAAAACATATATAAGATTTTGGTTTGTTTCAGCTAAACAACGTAAACAGCAGCGCTGTAATAGTTCATCCCAGTCAGTTGTTACCGGTCTTGCCTCCGCCTACGTCTCATACTGCCATCATTGGTAAATTTTGTAATTTATTATTCATGGATTTGGTTCTAGGGGGACATTGAACGACCAAAAAACTTTGTTAGGAGCAGAGGTAAAAGCTTTTTCTTAGGCTAGGTTTTAGTTTAATTATAGCAACAGTCAAATCAAAATCCAATCAACATGTTTGTACGAGATTAGCATATTTTTATTGACGCAACTTGCAAGTTGAACAATGTCGTGATTTGTAAGGCACTTTAAACGTTGGTCCCGGCCGCATATACAGTCGTTAGCAACTACCTATCCGCAGTGGGCTCGCGTGGTGACTTGTGGCCCATTCTTCCGTTTCCATCCCTAGGGAAGGCCTGTGTCCTGGCAGTGAGCACAGTAATAGGTGTATGATAAAAGGCCACAGTATCGACTGCTGGCCAAGCTATTCGCAAAATGTGTGTCGCTTCGCTGTCGGTAGGGACACTCACACAAAACTGCGATCATCGATCAACCGCATCAGGGACTTGCGTCGATTTCGTGCTCGAAGCTTTGGTTAAGGTGACCATACCTTCTTCAACGGTAGTTAGACGTATTGGACGGGTTTTAGTAATAGTGACCTGGATCGCAAAAAGATTGTTGCACTGCTATTATTATTAAATAGATATAGAAGAATAGAAGATTTTGGGTTCATCTATTTATTACGATTATGAACGCTGATGGGAAGTATTTTACTCGAAAATACTATGGCTTAAGAACGAAAGATTTTTATTGATTATTTTAAAATGGGTATATTTTCATTTGAAGAGCTTTTGATCTTTTTTATTATAACCATTATCACCAAAAACGATCGTAAAGGGGAAGTCTCAGAGCGGAGTCTAATGGCGTCACCGAGTGTGACGTAATATCTCAGGAATGCGTGATGCGAATCACATCGGAAGTTCTTGCGGGCATTCGTACGAACTCGCAGATATTTGCGACGCGATGCGAATTCGCAGTTATGTTTGGGAGCACCAAATTGGTGCGCATCAAAGGGTTTTACTGTGATGAATTTTCGCGGGTGGCTTAATTTTGCGTTCTGCATCCATGTAGTTTGCGTTCTATGTTACATGTAGTATTTAATAACATATTATTAAAAATCATGAATTGTAATATTGATTGAATATAAGAATACATAATAAATAAGAACCAGTTTTGTATAACCCCAAGAGCCAAAACCAGAAAAGAAATCTATGTTCCCGCCTAAACTATCACTTTTTGTTACACGTCCTTTTCAAATGTAGTCAGTTCACTTTGTAGCAAATCGAAGTCGGAGTTTTATCGTTAACATCGCGGGATACGACACGCATCTTCGCGTGATAATGTGGCCGTAGCATTACAGTTTGAATAGTTTGTGTATATTTTTCTATACAACATCCGTATGTCTCAACTCCTGCTTTATTATCGTACTTAATTTGGACCTCCGTGGTTCAAATCCCGGTGGGGGCAGATGTTTGTGTGATGAATACGAGCATTTTGTACTCCAGTCATGGATGTTCAATATGTGTTTCTATAAAATATACTTAAATATGTACAGCATATGTATTCTATTCGTTACCCTAGTATCCCATAACACAAGCCTTATAGTGCTTACTTTGGGGCTAGACTAATCGGTGTGTGTTGGAAATATTTATTTATTTATCACCCCCAGTATCGACGGGGGGCGTGCAAGGCGGGGTGTTTCCATGGCAATCGCTAGTGCCCCTACTGACGGCGGCGTCCCCCCCTCCCGCGCCGCCCTCGCCCCGCACCCCTCGCACACCACGGACTCCGCACACCCCGCATACTCCGCACACGCCCCACACGCCGGTCATCAAGGGCGAGGAGATCAAGACGGAGAGCGCAGGTCGGTATTAATAATACAGGCAGTCCTCGTACTTACGGCATGTCAGGTACTCCAAATAGGCGACGTAAATCGAAACGACGTAAGTGAGACATCCCCACGGACGCCGGCCCCCCGCTGGACGTTGACCTAGCGACAAGTGAATTCTCCTATGCCGGAAATCGAAACAATTGACGTATGCTTGAGGAATATTGTCAAAACATTGTTCGACCTAGCTTGAAACGACGTAAATCGAAACGACGTAAGTCGAGGACTGCCTTTATAATGAATGTATCACTAGTGTCTCTTTTAGGTTACGTTTCAACTAGTAATGTGTGAGGAAAATGAGCGGAGCGAGGATGTGAAGCGAAGCTGTGAAACGATCCTTATATGACTGGAGCGAGGATTTGTAGCGTGCTCTTTTTTTTAAATGTATTTATTGGTCGTGTCCATCCATAGCACACATCCACACATCGCTCGGGCAAATTTCTGTAGCAGGAAATCAAGACGGAACGCTCGCAGATCGGTATGCAATGAATCTATCGCTAGTGCCTTTAGTTCAGACGCCACACATAACGATCATAAAAGCGGGGAGGTCAAGGCGAAGAGCGCAGTTTGGTATATAATGATATACTATATTCAACTTTCATTCGAGGCAAAAGGTAAACAAACGATAAAAAGATTTTTTAATAGGTATAATTTTATACACATAGAAATAATAATGAAAAAAATGTCATTAAAAAGAGCTTAAACTGTACCTATTCCTAAACTTTGAAGTATTATAAAACTGCTTAATTGAACATATATTATATTCTATTCGTTACCTTAGCATCCCATAACACAAGTGCTTACTTTGTGGATAGGCTAATTGGTGTGTATGTGGGAAATATTATATTACTAGCTGTGCTCCGCGGTTTATTACGGATATTTTCCTGCAGTAAAACCGGAGCCTTTGTGCTAATCCATAGTGTTAGCTAACTCCATACCAAATTTTATTAAAATCGCTCCAGCCCTTAGCCGTTAAGAAGTAACAAACATACACACTCACAAACTTTCGCTTTTATAATATTAGTGTGATTATTTGCAGGTGACTCTGTGACAGCTATGTGCACTGAAGAAGACGATGACGTGTTCGAATGCGAGGAACCCGGGACCGGGGGTGGCGAGGACTCGACCAAGCGACGCTCGCAGAGTCTGTCCTCTTTGAATTCGCCAGCATCCGCCACGGATAAGGTAATATTAATTGATTATGGGGAAAAAACTGCCAATTTATCACGCCAGAGGTGCAGGTGTCGAATGACCCCAACAACAAATCCAGACAGCTGTCAAAGTCACAAGGGAAACAAATTCCGATAGTGTCGGGCTGTGTTCCAAACCTACGCTCCAGGTGCAACAAATGTCAAATTTGACATACGTTAAATACATTTTATGTTAAAATTCAAACGTCAGGGTAAAACGCTGCACTCAGAGCGTAGGTGTAGAACGTATCCTGGAAGTGTCAGGTTGCTTGTTATGGGCCAAACGCCCAAAGCGCCATCTGTTATGGACTGAATTTCAGGTCCGAAATAAATTATTATTATTATTAATTCTAAAAGAGTAAGGATTTTGTGTTTATTAACAGAAGGAGCGTCGCATCAGACGACCCATGAACGCGTTCATGATATTTTCCAAGCGGCATCGTCAAATAGTTCATCAGCTACATCCTAACCAGGACAATCGTACTGTAAGCAAGATCCTTGGTGAATGGTGGTATTCGCTCAAGCCTGAAGAGAAGCAGAAGTACAACGAACTAGCCAGTGAGGTGGGTTATATAGTAAACTTTATCTACACTCAAGTCGTAATATTCGAATTACGAATTTAAAGATGGTTTTATATAGACTTACTTTATAAATGCACATACATAAATTGAAAATAAAACTCATTACAATACTGCTGCAGTGCGACAAAGATCTATATGAATGTGGCGAAAATTGGAACTAAGGCCGCCGTCTTTGTAAACGTCATATTTTGTATGTCATATACGCAGACAGTGGCGCCCTCCCTGAACTGAACTCACGTTCATGAAGGCATATACAAACTATCTTGAATGTAGGTATACTGGAAGATGTGTATATTTCGGATCACCTGCCTATTTTTCTGGAATGTAATATGAACACGGTAAGGCCTAAGCTAATAACACGTGAAATACCGCGCAGTGGTGTAATTTGGGGTGATAGGGATGAAAATCAGATAACTAGTTATCATAATCTGTGTAATAATATTTTTGCGTGATGTTGATTTTCCACCGATTTTTGCCGAGTGCAGCCGAGGTTCATGTAGTTTGAATAGTCATAAAATTGTTTTGGACAACCTATACCACAAAATTTTTAATATTTTAAGAGGCGCAGCAATTCGGACTAGAAAGCAGGTTCAAAAGAGAACTCGGAAAGGTAAAGTTCTGTGTGGGTGGAATCTACATGTGCGTGAAGCTCACCGAATGGCTAGGCTTGTCTTTCAGGTCTGGATATTGCATAACCGTCCTTCATCTGGTGAATTCTATGAACGGATGTGTGAATCTCGTAAGATATTTAAGGGTGGGCTGAAATGGTGCTTAAATAACCAAGAGCAAATCAAAATGGATCAAATTGCGAAGCTAAGATATGATAAAAAGTTTCGTAATTTTTGGAGATCTATTGGAAAACTGGATGTTAAGCCTGGCCTTTCTGCTTGTGTTGATGGCAAAAATAACCCAGAAGAGATTGCAAATTTGTTTATGGAACACTTTAAGGTGCGGTCTCCGATAGGTCCGGGGTCCATAGTATCTGGAGCTGGGCCCAGCGTGCGCAGGGAGGAGTCACTGCTAAGATTCACTGCTAAGCAGGTGGAAGGTGTAATTATCAGAATGAACAGTGGCAAATCTCCTGGGCATGATGGGCTTAGTATTGAGCACCTGAAATATGCAGGGTTACACTTGCCGAGGGTTCTGTCTCTGTTTTTCAATCTATGCATTAGTCACTCATACCTGCCGACCGATTTAATGAAAACGATTGTTGTCCCTATTGTCAAAAACAAGACGGGTGATATATCTAATAAGGGAAATTACCGCCCAATATCGTTTTTTAGCAACCGTAAAGTGTTGGGACAGTTTGCTTGACTCATGTTTACAAAAGCACCTAAACTTACATGACGCGCAGTTCGGTTTTAGAACCAGACTATCAACCGATAGCGCTATACTGAGTCTCAAGCATACTGTCCAATATTACACAGACCGAAGAACGCCGGTGTACGCCTGTTTCTTGGATCTCTCCAAGGCCTTCGATCTTGTTTCCTACGATGTGCTCTGGGGAAAGATGGCGGACAGGGGTATTCCGGCTGAGGTGGTCAACATATTTAGGTATTGGTACTTGAACCAAACCAACAATGTGAAATGGTCGAACAGTCTCTCTGAAACGTATGGGTTGGAATGTGGAGTGAGACAGGGTGGGTTGACGTCTCCGAAGCTCTTCAACCTATATGTCAATGATCTCATTGTGGAGCTTAGCAGCATGCTGGTCGGTTGCCGGGTGGGGGGTGTTAATATAAATAACATCAGCTACGCGGATGATATGGTGCTGCTGGGCCCGACAGTGGGAGCTATCAGGGAGCTGTTTAAAAGTGTGTGAGACCTATGCTGCGTCGCATGGTCTTGTTTACAACGTAACCAAGAGTGAATACATGATCTTTAGGGCCGCAGGCAAATGTCGGGATGTCACCTCTCCTATCACCTTGAATGGTTCACCGCTAAAACGGGTTTATCTAGTTAAATATCTTGGTCATATCATTGCCGACGACCTTAAGGATGATCTTGACATTGAGAGAGAGCGAAGGGCGATGGCGATTCGAGGAAACATGTTGGCCCGAAGATTCGCTCGTTGTTCGAATCAGGTCAAGATAACCCTATTTAAAGCGTATTGTCAGGGTATGTACGCGGGAAGTCTGTGGGCCCGATATATGAAAAAATCGATGGACTCTCTGCGCGTGCAATACAATAACATTTTCAGAATGATGTTGGGACTGCCCCGCTTCTGTAGTGCCTCCGGAATGTTTGCTGTAACTCGAACAAACGTTCCATGCCGTCTTGCAGCAAAAAGTTGCGTCCCTGATGTGTAGAGTACGGATCAGTAACAACACCATTCTGAGAGTCGTGGCAGGTGATCCGCATGCACCATTTTGGAGGCACTCCGTGCGAATGATGACTGAAATAGAAGTTAATTATTCTTCCTGGTGTCGTTTGCGCGGAGTGCCTCTAAGGTACATGACATATTAAAAATCAAAACTTTTGTGAATACTTACTTATAGGCTACTAACCCTTAGTTATAAGTTATATTGTATACTAACATATGGATCTGTGTTGTCTGACAATAAATGATATTATTATTATAAAGATCTTGGTCGCACCATAGCTGTATCGTAAAATAACTTTTTGATCGTTATAGTACACGTTTGTTGTTTAGTTCCTTATATTAGGCTGAATGTGAACTTAATTTCCCGCGCTTCCCATACAATTTGTTTCCCATCAAAGTTTTGCAAAACACCTCTTAGTTATTTAGCTACTTTATTTAATTTAAATTGTTCCTATGAGTATAAAGTAGTGTATGCAAATGCATTTAATTTAGGTGTTAAAACAGTCAAGTCAACCTATTATCGCGTTTCGGCATTGCCTCATGCGATAAACAGACTCTCTCGTCTTATAATTCCTTCCATCCCCTTCTTATATTATGACAGTCGCATCACTACTATTATGGTGGATGTTAAGTTAGCTAGCAGCGAGCCCAACTATAGTTTCGTTTCAGTGAAATCCTGCGCTAATTTCAGTCGCCGTCTTTGATATCACTTCTATATTTAAAAAGTATCTACCAGACTGAGGCAGAAGCGATTTACAAATAAATTTGTTATAAATTAAACCTCGACCTGATAATTACGAACATGAAAATATTTTAATAAGCCAAGCCAGTCAAGCCATTTAAGTAGCAGTGCGTAATACATGAATTTATCCTTTTTATTAACATAATTAGCTATAGGTTTGATTTTTAATGAATTATTATTTGTTTTAAGGTAAAGGAGGCCCACTTCAAAGCTCACCCTGAGTGGAAATGGTGCAATAAAGATAGGAGAAAGTCTTCGAGCAGCAGAGACCCAACGGGCTCTATGCCACAGGTAAACATTCAGTTTGTTGAAAAAACGGTTCTCTTCTCACTCTCATTCGTAAAATATTGTTTCAACCGCACATGCATTATTTACGAAATAAATTCTGATAAATGGTGACATTGCAATAGTCTGATTTACAAAATGGATTTCTAAATAATTTACTTCTTAGTTTTTATAGACTGAATTAACAAAAAATAAATGTGAAGATCTTTCACGTTTTTTGTTACATTACCGCTTAATATTGTTACATTATCGCTCACTCGCACTCTATGGGGTGCATAATTATACAAACTTATTCGTATCTTCTTATATAAACGTATTCCTTCTTATACAAACGCCTAGATAGTGCAATCCAAATAAACCACGCAAAGGTTCATGTTACGCGGAATGTATCCGTGCTCTAATGTCAGATTCTTTGAAAGCAGTCAATGTGTGCGTGTGTAGCAAGGAGCGTATCTACCACATATAGTAGATATTTTTTCGTTGCTTCCTTGCGGTTAATATAGTATCAAAGCGTGTTAAAATCAAAGGGTACGTCATAAATATTATCGTGTGGGTTTGTACTCGTTACACAATCCGATCTCAAAAGTAAACTCCCTAATTGTCTGTTCAGCTATTTACGTCTTGTTTAATGGAATTCTAATTTGGTTGTATAATACACGACAGAGCCCTCGGACGCCTGTGGATGTCAGTGGGGGAGGGAATGGCACCGGAACGGGGGCAGGGGAGGTTCCTCTCCCCGCCGCCTATGCGCACGTGTCCTCTCCGCACCTCAGCGATGACGAACAGATGGTCAGTATCACGTACACCAGGAGTGGCTGACTTACTGTCGAAAACCTGTTCGATATACCGATTACATACTTCTTGAAATCTGAAATGAATCAGCACAGTTCTGTACCCCCCAGCACGAACCAATATCGAATTCGAATCGTTTGCGAGTCTGAAATGTCATTGTCAAATGTGTACTGATTTGTAGTTCTCGTTACGTACTTTCTGCCGCTGCTGTTCAAGTTTCCATACAAAATTTGACATTGACATTTACTGTCGAAAACCTGTTCGATATACCGATTACATACTTCTTGAAATCTGAAATGAATCAGCACAGTTCTGTACCCCCAGCACGAACCAATATCGAATTCGAATTGTTTGCGAGTCTGAAATGTCATTGTCAAATGTGTACTGATTTGTAGTTCTCGTTACGTACTTTGTGCCGCTGCTGTTCAAGTTTCCATACAAAATTTGACATTGACATTTACTGTCGAAAACCTGTTCGATATACCGATTACATACTTCTTGAAATCTGAAATGAATCAGCACAGTTCTGTACCCCCAGCACGAACCAATATCGAATTCGAATTGTTTGCGAGTCTGAAATGTCATTGTCAAATGTGTACTGATTTGTAGTTCTCGTTACGTACTTTGTGCCGCTGCTGTTCAAGTTTCCATACAAAATTTGACATTGACATTTCGGTTTCCAAACTATTCCAATTCGATAATGGTTCGTGCTAGGGGTACAGTACACAATTATGCAGTATTTTGTTATTTTATTAAGGGGGCAAACATAAAAGTGAATGAGTGCTTTAGTAACTACTTATTAATATTACTGCGCAGAGTCATTATTAAAAGTGGTCCATTTGAAATGTATCTGCAAGTTTTGTAGCCAATTCATAGATATCACTATGGAAAAGAGGATAAAAGAGATGCCTATAGCAGTTGGTGATTACTATGCGCAGTCTGTTTTACTCATTTAAAATGTTTGCCTTGCCACGATCGATTTAACTAATAGTCGCAATCGACTGGTTGGCCACCACTGACATACACAGATACAAATATAAAGCGCTTTATTTCTATATCTTATTCCTTATATATAAATTTTCTCTATACATATGCCATTAATCAATCATTTTATTAGTATGACATGATGTACATATGTGTACATATGAATTTCCCTATAAATTCACTTCAAAATGTCTTCACTAGTCACTCAATTCAATGTATGTAATTTTTAAATACAACATAATATAGCTAAGGTTAATTAATTAATTTAGCATATTTACCATTAATGACTCACAATACCTACTTTTATTATTGCGAATTTAGTGTATTTAACCTACTACCAGTATATACTTGTTATACAGAAACATAATAGGCATACAAAGGTTTAAAGTTTGTTTGTTGGAAGTAATCTCTGAAACTAGTAAACTGATTTTGAATTTTTTTACACCAGTAGAGTTTTATATTTTTTCCAAGTGGAATAGGTTATACATATTTTTTAGCTTTAAAAAACTTCACCATTTCAATGCTAGGGCGAGTTCTATTTTGTTACCGTGCGTTTTTAACTTAGGTTATTATAAATTGTGTAATTTTTATGATTGTACAATAGTCAAACACGTATTCATGTATAGTATGGCGAATCTGGTTGAAAACTTTGATGTTTCATGAATTTAACTTTAGTCCGATAAGTTATGAAAACCTTAAATTATTACATCGAGTATTCCTATTTATAAACATCACCTTAAGGTGTTCTGTACATCTTTTTCGTCCTTCGAGCCGGTTATAAAATAGATTTTTTGTGCCTTTCTCATCATAAAAGTTATCGCTCTGTTTCACTGGTAAAAGTAAAAATAGAGGAACCTCTTTAAATTGTTGCAGGCAACGCAAACTATTTGCGAAGAACCACCACCGGCGCCTGCTCAGAATATAGAGATCGACCTGAAGTGCGGCGAAAAAGTGACCGACTCGGATTCAGAGGGGATCGACGCCAGAGAATACTTGCCGCACCACGATCACGCGCGAAGACCTAAACCAATCAAAGCCAGGTAGGATATAAGATCAAACTTTATCACTTTACTAGCTGAGCCAGCGAACTTCGTATCGCCATAAAAATATGAGTGGTAGAAGGATGAAAATTTAGGGTTGTATGTATTTTTGTATGATGTATCATAAAAAATTAAAAATAAAAAAATTGTCCAAACAAAAAATTATTTAATGGTGGCCCTACCTTATCATTTAGGGGGATGAAAAATAGATGTCCGATTCTCAGACCTACTGAATATGCATATAAAATTTCACGAAAATCGGTCGAGCCGTTTCATAGGAGTTCAATTACGTACACCGTGACACGAAAATTTTATATATTAGATTAAGCAAAACACTACGGACAATGTTTCGGTATCGGTAAACAACAAGTATATTTACTTACACTTTAAAAATAAACACAGTTCGTCAAGAAATATTTGACAACTCTGTACAAAATAAACACAGTTCGTCAAGAAATATTTGACAACTTGCCGGTTCTTCTCAGTACAAGGTCTCCCACCCGTAGATTTGAGAACCGATGACGCAATTTTTCGACATTCACAAGTGCTTGTGACAGCGTAGATTGAATAAATAATATTGTTTTGTATAGCTCATTGCAGTAAAGATTACCAAGAATGACTTGCTACCTATGCAAATGAACTGACTAACACGCTCAATGGAGAAGGTGGTGTAAAGAAAGCCTGTTTAAAACGACATGACATCCCGTCTTATTAAGAGATTAAACAACAAAAAAGAGTTCGTTTAACAATGACCTGCCTATATATTATAGACAGGTTATACGCAAACATAATTGCATTTTAAAATGGCACCGATAGAGTGCACTAAAGTAGTCTCTTTCACTCTCATTCATAAAGCAGATTACATCTTGCTCTTTAGCCTCTATGTGCCAACGGTGTCAGCAACTGACAAGTGTCACTAAATATTTTTACATTAATTTCTTTAAAACACGAATAAAATGACACGTTTTTCTTGTCTCAGTTCTCGTGTATTTTGTTTTCTATCTAAAATACAGATAGGGTTTTTTGTTTGGAAAAACGTAAAATATTTACACGTTGTAACATAGTGTAGGCGCGGCGAGAGAGCCTGCCCGACTGAATGCAAGTCCGGCAATTACCTGAATTTCGTATTGCCATTTGAGAAGCGCGTATACCTATAACTTTAAAACATCACAGGTTGTCAATAAATTTGCAACTAGAATTGGCAAACTACAAAAAAAATCGTAATTGCGATCCAAGCTTAATGGGGTTGTGAAGTCAGTAACAGTACAACTATGCACAAGCTTCAGTTCAGTGACATTCCGTGCGCGCTTACATTATGCTTATTGCGTCGCGATTTACGCTATTTTAGAGTCGTCGTTTATCTTGATTCGCACTTTACCCCCGTTTTTGTTCATCAGGGCGGGGTCATCAGACAATTTGCTCGGTGGCATCACGGCGTCGAGTCCCGGTGGATCTAAAGTGTTCCAACCCACTGGAGGTGCTTTCAAATCCACACATGCTGATACTGGTAAGCCAATGACTGGCTATGAATATTGACTACCCATTTAACAAAACAGTTTACGGTAAAACTAAAATTATTAGATATTTATTATAATAAGGCGCAGTCGGATATAAAAACACTGGTTCCAAACGGGATGTGTATCCACGATTTTCTGGGCTTGTACTCTTAAATTAAATAAAAATAAACTTATTAAAAGACGAGTCTTCATCCTGATGTCATAATAAGTCTCTAGTCAAATACTGACACAAAGTAGAGCCCAATACTAGTTCCTCAAACGAGGAAATAAGCTTTGATTAGTTACTCCATGTTTTGTCTCAGTTCATTAGAGTGACATGAACAAAACATGGCGTAACTAGTCCAATCTTATTCCTTGTTAATAAAGGGGGTTGAGTTACCGATTCGAATTAACGGCCCCTTTTTAACCGACTACAAATAGCAGGAGGTTCTTACTTCGGTTGATTTTTAAAATTTATTTTTAGTGTTAGTTTAGCTGACGTCTACTAATAGAACCAATATAACTAGCGCCAACAAAGAAATTATACGAAAGTGTCGACGCAAGACATCCTGCCAGAAATAATGTGCGAAAGGCATAAAATGCCGTGACCCGCCATTTTCCATTACTTTATTGCCACTATTTAACTTTAGCTGGTGCTCGATGGTGCTAGTGTTTAGTGCATTCGGTTGCGATCGTCGAAGTTAAGCAACTTTCGCAGTGATCGGTTATTGGATGGGTGACCATATTTTCTATTTCGAGCTTCTCCGTGCTTCGGAAGGCACGTTAAGCAGTTGGTTCTGCCTGCATCTGCAGTCGTTAGCCCCCGCCAATCTGCACTGGGCCTGCGTGGAGGGTCATGGCCCAAACTCCGTATTCCATCCATAGGGAAGGCCTGTGCCCCAGCAGTGGGGACATTAATAGGCTGATGATGATGATGATGAACTTTAGCTGGAAATAAGAATGCATAGTTATCAAATTAATAATATTATTTACGTAGACGAATAAGACTTTCAAATTCATTGATTTCTGTGTTTTTAACAAATCTTTAATATGGCTTTGTAAAAAAAGTTTTTTTTTTCAAAACTATTCTTGACATTAACGCTATCATTCGCAGGTGAAAACCATCGGCAATGGTTCACCCATCTAAAGACGAGTCTGCCCAATCAAGTGCCTGTATCGCCGCACCTTTCCCAAACAAACGCGACAAGTACTCAAAGCTTAACGAATAGCGTCCAAGGAATATCCTTAAGCACGCCCAATTTATCCACCCAAGCTGCTTTGGATAACGCCATAGCGTCAATTATGAACTCTCCTACGCATACTGGAGGGGTTCAAGTCATATCGACTGGAATGTCGATGCCTCAGTCGATGCAGCAGTCGATAGCGCAGTCGATGCCGCAGACGCAGACTTCGACCGCGTTCAGTAATACGCTGTTGAAGAGCGTTACTTTGGTGAAGAGGAATATTGGCGATAACAACACTGGTGAGTGTATATGTTTTTTTATTGTCAGTCAATAATAATAGTGGCCGCCCGCAACTTTGTGCGCGTAAACTTTGTTGAAGTGAAAACTGCTTTAGCGGCGTTGTACACATTATTTTGTATGGGTAAAAAATGTTAAACTCGCGTCAAGTTAAACACGTGGGCTAATCGCATCATGACAATAAAATTGGAAAGGTTGTTGACTTTCAATATATTGGACGAAACATAGTAATATTTTATTTTATCGTATTATGATAATAAGTATCTATCTAGGAAGTCCAGCGTGGCAGCTTTATTGCGAAGAAAATGCATTTTTTTACAATAGATGTCGCTAGGTACGCTTAAATGTGATTCATGTAAGTTGATTTCTTTACAATAGATGTTGCTAAGAGCGCTTAAACGTGATTAATGTAAATTGATTTTTCTGAGAGATAAACTTTTTTAATGTAATATAAATTGTCATGTTTGTGTACGATAGCGCAATAAATAAATATTGTATTTTACCACATACATGATAGTACTTTTATTCTGATAATTAAAGCAATTCGTGCAAAATTATTCCCTAACCATTCCAAAATATCAAAATTCACAACGTTAATATTCAAGTTTGCACTTCTGCCGGCACTCCCGGAGTGCAACCCGTCGTTTTTTTGTGTATCCCAAAGGGACCTTGCTTTTTCCGGAATTAAAAGTATCCTAAATTATATTCCAATCTCTTTCAGTAGTTTTTGGGTGTTATCGTAAGAAACATAAAAGCAAAACTGTTGTTATATAGATTGATAGGTCCTGGTATTCTAAATTATGTATTGTACTTTTGTTTTTATTTTCTTTTTGTTACGTATACGTAGGTACAGCAAGTAATGAAATAATAATAATAATTTATATTTAAACTTAAAATTCATAGTTATTATCTAAAAAAATCATCTTGTTGTGTACATTGTAAATAACAGCTACACTGATTTATTCATTAAAATAATCAATTTTGTTACTAGAACAAGCGTAATTTTTTATTTCACTCGACTTTATTGTAAATTATTATAGAACAATACTTTTACTCTATTTAAATTTTAATTAAATCGCTCAAAAAAATTTCGTTAATTTTTATCATGTCGCATTACATTTTAGTTTTTTATTGAAAAAAAAAAAACAAATTATATGACTATAAAACTGTCAACATCAAGCGTCGGTGCTTTAGTGGTAGAAAGGCCGCCGGCAACGCGAGCGGCCCTGGTTCAAATCCCAGCCGAGGAAGGGGGGGTCTTTTTTATATTAATGATTAAAAAGATTTCACTTTTATCTTGGTTTTTTGATTTAATATTTGGTCATATGCTAATCAAAAGCTATAATTATGTCATTTTTTATTGTTTAGGTCCATTAACGCTGTCTGTGGATGCTTCTGGCAATCTTCTCATAAAAGCGAGTCAAGCCAACGATAACAATCCGTCGAACAACGATCCACAACCTCTACAATACGTACAACTGCAGCGGCTATATGTGCCTTTCAACAGCGGTGAGAATTCAACCTTATTCCTACTGTCTTAAGATCAATCATTTTAAGGTCCCACTTAATAAAGATTTAACTAAAACTAGATTTAGCCCATACAAGTTTGTACAGACATTGGTGTCGATTCTCGCATGATTCTCTAAACCGAAACTGAAATTTGACAACAGTGTATCCTTACCGTACCCTGTACAAAATGACAAGGAGAGGCTGATGTTAAAGGACATGGCTAAGAAACTGCCCTTAACGTGTATAAATATTTCGCACTAGCCTTAACTTTACAATAGTTTTTTTATTAATTATTACGTGTTTATTATTCTCATACAACTTTCATGAAATAATCAAATATTTAAAAGTATAAAAATTGACTTTATGTCTGTTTAAAAAGCAAAATGTTCCGTTTTACAAAATAAATTAACATTAAATGTACACAAAAAATATTTGTGTAAGTATATCGAAATAAACAATATTGTTTCTAAGCTCCTTCAAACTATGACATATTTGGCCCTAATTTTTATCAAAACAAATCACTGAAGGCCTAAAATAATAGAATTTATTATTCTGATCAGGCTTGAGATAAGGCTGTATGATAATTAATCCTTTAATTTTTGCAAATGAACAAAATAAAACATCACAGATTTCCTGTCAGGCCGACGATAACAAACTATTTGTATTTATTTTCGCTTTAGAAACACTTTTTGTGAAGAGTTAATCAGAGAAATGGGAAGAAAGATTTTAAGAAAATGCGAAATTGATGACTCTTTAAATAATTGGCAACATCTTTTATCAACTGTAGTAAGGTAATGACATAGTAGGAGTTCTCATAATTTTCAAGATTGTGACTTTATCAAAAGTTCCTTAGTCTTTTTTCATAGAAATTATAAATATTCAGACATTTACCATTAAATATTACCAAGTACAGTATTTATACATTGCCAGGGCAGTCGCTCATGCAAAACTTTACCATGTCCTTTAATTTTAAATTTATAGTCATGCCAAAGTCAACACCATGACGCTTTCACATTTTTGTATGGGTTAAACCTTGTTTTAGCTAAATCGAGATTTAGCTCATTTGGTGCAAGTGGGCCTTAGTCGCTTGTTCCACAACCGACAATGAACGAGAAGTGAGTAGAGCTAGAAACTAGAAACGAGTAGACGAGCAGTGCGAAGCTAGTGTTTGGTTCAAATTATTTTATCGCTGTGCTTTAAGAGTGTGTTCGTGTCCTGAGCGAGTATTAGCTTTCATATCTCTTTTCGGTCAATGACAAGCTACTGAAGCGAGTTCTCGCCGGCAGTGTAAACAGTCGGCGATTAACTGTTTATATATGCATTTCCTTTGTTTACAAGGAATGTATCTCTATTGTGCGATTATTGAGCGAGCAAATGCCGATAGTTAGTCGCTTCCTAGCCGGCGCGGCGGCGGTGGGATAGCTGCCTCACGAATCGGTTACTTTTAAGCCCCTGATTTAATAGTAAACTTAAGCTCTTTAATAATGTTTTGTAATGTTTATCTGTGTTCATCGATGTGATAATAATTTACCTTGTTCATTATACTAGACCGAATAACATTTATCTGAAATCACTGTTAAAATTTCATTATTTGAAGTAAGAAAACTTATTTTGTTTCAGAAGTGGATACCAACAAAAGCGTGAACCAAAATCCACAAGGCGGTCAATCTGTGATAGTGTCCCAGAGCAACAACCACACAGTGCCTAAACCTAACAATGTGTAAGTTGATTTCTACACTGCGACAGTGGGTCTTTATGAATGTGAGTGACAGTTCTCAGAGGGCGCCACTGTCGCGTACGAAGTCGTGGGCGGCCGCTAGTATACAAAATATGACGTTTAAAAAGACGGCGGCGTTAGTTCCAATTATCACCACTTTCATAAAGATTCGCAAAATCGTTATCACACTATATATTGTTCTGTTTATAACTCGTGAAATTAAAGAATGGAATCGAAAATAACTACGCGAGACATTGTGTCCCTCTCGCACGTTACTAAGGATAGCATGTGCGAGAGGAACAGAATGTCTTGCATCGTTATTTGCGATACCTTTCTTTAATGACACGGGTTATACCTATTTTGGGCAATACATTTTAGAGTAGATCTAGCAGTAAATTTACCATTAGCTACTCTATTAAGGAAACGAGCTAGTACCAACAAAAGTTAAACATTTCTCTTATTGTCTGAATCGTATTGTTTTCATTATCCCAGTCGACTGCATCTCGTATCCTTTGTAAGCGAAATTGCGACAAAGTAAACCCTCAATTAATTTGTATTCGTGAACAGAGTATTGATTAAAACTAACATTCTGCGCAATCTGAAAAAATGCACGAACATGGAACCCTATTTTATATTACCTTATTCATGCACATGTGCTTGTAAAATCCTAAGAACGGATTTATCTTATCTTGGTTTTGAAATGTTCGTGGAGGTCTAGGGAATTTTTAAAACGTGAGAAAATATGGTAAAATTGCGAGTCGTCAATAGTTAACTTCAATTTTAATTTTCTCACATAAACGGTTCTATCTTCTTTCCGGACAAACATTTGACGTTCGTCCCTTTTGGTACGGTAGACTCGGGTCCGTAATTTCTTCCAAATTATTTTAACCCGTTCGAAGTACGCGGGGTCAACTATTTATTTATAATTGTTTAATGATACCATAGGCAATGGGAGAGCCCGGTGGAAGAGACAAGGCCATTTCCCCTGGCACCCACTCCAGCGCAGCTCGGAAGAGCGCCGCTACAAAAGAGGCTAAGCAGAGGTATGAATTCGATTACAGTATACATATATATTGTTTTATATATTTTATTTTTAAGCATGTTCAAATATAAAGAAAATATTACTAGAAAAATAATTCAATTAACCCTATCACGATACCTTTCAATTTATTATTAGAAAGATTAAGAAGTAAGACTAGCAAGAAAGTTTGTATACATAATATTCTGAATGATTAACTTAGCTGCAAATATTTTATTTTTCAATTTTCTCTACTTTATAAGTAGCAGTTGAATGCTTTAATGAGTGGTGTACGTGAAAACCTAAGAAACAAATATTATTTATTGATTTTGTACCTTAGGCACTTCGACCGGTTCCAACGGTAGCGTAGACCAGCCGCCTCGTTCTGGGAACGGTGGAATTGGTACCGGGGTAGGAATAGTTGGTGGGGTAGGAACAGGGGGAATGAGTGAAGTAAACAGTCCCCACGACGTAGGGGAAGGAATTCCCTCGCCCAAGCACGCCGACCTAGCCAGCCCCATGATGAAGAAGAGCCTCTTCAAGAAGGGCAATGAAGATGGACGCGACAAGTGAGTATATTTACCCTATACTATATGTACACATTATTTATATATGATATATATTTATCGTTTATAGTATAGTTCTGTAAGATAATTTTTTTTTCTCTAACTAGTAGCTCGCACTCTTTCGCCAAAACATCCTTCTCAAACACCCATACTGGTTGACTGGTAGAGAATGCCTATGGCATTATGTCCGCCATTTACTGTATTTTGGTAATAAAGAATAAATAAATACACAGTGAAGCAATAAGTTTCAGTGACTCCTTTAAAAAAAATTTTGGTTCTTGGGGATTTTAAAAAACTAACCAGAACGCGAACGAAGTTGCGGGCGGCGGCTAGTATATTATAATGTAGATATCCTGCGCTTGTGACAACTTTTCAATTAACAAGCTATTTGAATATAAGAAGCGCACACCCTATTGTATATTGTTTAAAACTTTCATGGTCACTAACATTATAGTTATTAGCGGAAGTGCTATCACGTACATTGTTTTTTGTGAGCCCCCGGTATTTCAACCCTGTTGCAAGCGCCATGATCCCGGAGTTACTGAAGTGATTGCGGGTAGATGTTATTGGCAGACATCGGTCTACCCTCTGATATTGATAGTCTTTTCTTGCGCTCGACACCCCTATCACTGGTCACATTCTCACCACTCATTCGCATCTGTTCCCGACATCTTGTTGTTATAAATATTTTTTTTATTCTTTGCCGTTTTATTTGCTCTCACATTCTCACCACTCATTCGCATCTGTTCCCGACATCTTGTTGTTATAAATATTTTTTTTATTCTTTGCCGTTTTATTTGCTCTGCATGTTTTTCCGGTTGACTGTTAGAGAATGTCATATTGGAATTGAGTCCGCTATTTGCATATAAGGCATTAAAGATTAAATAAATATAAATAAAATAAATAAATAAGATTAAAAAAAAATGGGAACAAAGGACATGGTAAAATTTTTACTACCCTAGCAATGTATAAATATCGTACTTAGTAATATTTAACGCGGAATGGCTGAATGTTTATAATATTTATGAAAAAAGGCTCCGGAACTCTTGATAAAGTTACAATCTTCAAAATTAAGAGAACTTCTACTATTATCATTACCTTCCTACAGTTGATAAAAGATGTTACCAATTATTTACAGAGCGTATTTGGTCAGGCAGTTTCTTAGCCATCTCCTTTCTCTAAATATCATATTATTAGCAAACAGTAACGTTCAGTATGGCGAGCAGCGTGTATTCGCTAATCAGCTTGCTCCTCCGCAGAGTTCTGGAGACGGTAAACTTCGAGCAAAAGTTCAGCACGTTGCCTCAGTTCAAGCCCGAGGCCTGCAGTCCCGGCGCGATGGTGGTTTGCAGTCCGCAGCTTTATCTACGCAAGAAGCATGTTAACAAGGGTATGGGTATGTTATATCATCATCAGTCTATTAATGTCCCCACTGCTGGGGCTCAGGCCAACCACTGTGGATGGAATAGGGAGATTGGGCCATGACCTACCACGCGGGCCCAGTGCGGATTGGCGGGTGCTAACGACTGCAGATGCAGCCGGGACCAACGGCTTAACGTGCCTTTCGAAGCACGGAGGAACTTGAGATAGAAGATTTTTGGTCACCCATCCAATGACCGACCACTGCGAAAGTTGCTTAACTTCAATGATTGCAGCCGAAACGAGCTTACCATCTGCGCCACCGAGTTCCTCTCCGAGGGTATGTTATATACCTAAAACTAACAAAAAAAAAGAAAATTTTACTAGAAAAAATTTCACGTGGACCAGGCAGCAGACGGGACTCAAACCCGCATCTCTGCTATCCGGCCGGATTCACTGATCATAATGCTACCGCCTGATTGTCCGTGCCGAATTCTCGCTAGTATTTCTTAGACTGTAAGGCAGCGCCATCTCTTCGCTTTGTAGGTATAACCCACAATGTCGAACGAATACCTTTACAAGTATTGAACATTTGAAAGAAAAAATAGCAATTATACTTATATTTTAATTTTTTAGGCATTTAGTGTTCGATGGAAATTTCGCGGGATTTTATTTTTCTAGTAAAACATTCTTTTTAATTAAACATCCAACAGTTTAATGGTTAAAAATATAATTTCTAAAAATATTGATTCGGTTTTATTTAACAGAGGATGAAGCTACGGTGGTGACGCCACAGATTGAGGCAGAAGTGATGAACGGCGCAAGTATGCCGACCCCACACTCTTACGGAACCCCTCACACCACTACCAAACTGGTGGGGAATACTTTCTTCGGTCCAGACTTCAATTTGGACACTTACAGAGGTTAGTATATTAAGCCAGGGCCTCCTGCGCCAATTTTCTAACAAAATATGTGAGTAAAACAGCCAGTGCGCTTGCGCCTGTTTTTTGTTAAGAAAACTGTTAAGCCACTCCCCTTAAGCCAGTCCATTGAGTTTGTTTTTAAAGTGTTGCAAAAATATGCTCTAACTAAAAAGATGTCTTTGCTTCTGTTCTTTCAATAATATATTAAGATTTTGCTATTTACTTTTTGAATCTAGCCTTTTTATGATCTACCAATGAATCTCAATATCAAAGCACCGATCTCTCTTTAATTAGTTGTACAATAATAATGAATCGTCGAAATCGGTTCACCCAGTCGAAAGTTCTGTAATCATAAAAAATACAGGCGAATTTGGAACCTCCTTTTTGTAAATTCTGTTAAAAACTAAATTTCTTTATTCCACTTCATCACAGAATATACCAAGAGAATTTTCAAGCGATTCTTCTTTATGAATATACTGTTTCACCTTTTTTACCACCGCTAGAAACGTCTACAGTGAAGATTCAATAAGCATTTACAAAAAATGGCAAAACATAGAGGCCTAGTATTACTACTTATTATTCTCTTGTACATGTATCTAATTTTCGAGGAGGAAATCATTGAGAGCCAAACCTCGAATTAAGCAATTTTTATACGCAATTTTCAGTGTTATCTTCTGTTTACCCTAGGTATTTGCTAATGTGCGACAGCAAATGGTTTTTTTCAAATATCTTTTTCTCAGATGTGTCTCAGCCATAGAGGTATAAGAATAGATTAGGGGAGATATAGACTACTACAAGTGGAAGTGTCCCTTCAAGAGAAGAAAGAGAGAAGATGAGAGACCGCTAGCTTTGTCTCTGTAATCGCGCATGCGCATTGGCAACCGTAAGCATCTTATTATTTCGATTTGATGCCATTGGATGCCATGCGTCACAAGAGAGAGAGAGAGAGCTAGCGGTCTCTCATCTTCTTTCTCTTTCTACTAGACGGACACTTTTAAAGCCGCCTTCCCTACTGTATTCTTATACCTCTATGGTCTCAGTTCGCGTCCGCTCTTAAGCATATTATTTCAACAGCATCGGAGAGCGTTGACGAAATGTCTCCGCGCACTCCTTGTTCGGCCAGCGCCACGTCAATGAACAGCGCCGGGACGGCCCCGGGGACTGGGCCCAACGCTGGCGGGGCCCGGGGCGAGGCGGGCCATCGCCGCGTGTTAGAACAACGCCGCACATTAGTGCTGAAACTGTTCAAGGAGCATGGCATGTTCCCCAGCTCGCAAGCCACCACTAATTTCCAGGCGAGTCACCAACACACATGCATTGATTAACTCTAGGAAAATTTAGCTAAAAAAACACTGAAACTGCAATTATAGGTTTTCACAGATAGAAAAAATGTGACAACAAAATTACACAATATTCCAAGCACACACACCAATCATTCTTTACAGCCTAACAATCGCTTTGCGGTCGCTTGACTAGTGTTGAAAAAATCTTCATCCAAATCTACCCGTTTTATAAGATAATTGAAATTGCTACTCACACGTTTATATAGACACTTAGGGCTGGTTATAATATAGTATAGAGGAGCCGCACGCTGTGCTGAAGCTGATAAAGGAGCACGACATTTTCCCCAGCTCGCAGGCCACAGCTAACTTTCAGACGAGTCTCTGTCACATATCACACAATATCATCGCGTACCAAAAACATGCCCAAAGGGAGACCAAACGTCGCGTTTTTAGCTATTTTGTTGCTTTTTATCACTGTTCTCGATACGGATGCCAATCGCAATTTCATCTTATTAAGGCACAGTAGATAATTTTGAGTATTTAATTGAAGCGGGCGGACGGTGTACATATTATTCCACCACTTAATATGCCATCAAAATGACACGCTTGGTTTTTATAAAATTTGACGCATATGCGTCGTCGTCGACGACGCAAATCTTGGTCTGTGGTCCCTACTACTGGGATACAGGTCTCCCCTAGGATGATTACCCACTACCACTATCATTTTATTACTGTCTCCACTGCTGGGGCTCAGGTCTTCCCTATGGATGGAATAGGAAGATTGGGCTGTGACCCACCATGCAGGCCCACTGGCTGTGTCCCGTGATGTCATCCACGGTTTATTAGGGATATTTCCCGTAGTAAAACGTCGCCTATGTGTTAATCCAGGGTGTCAGGTAACTCCATACCAAATTTTATTAAAATCGCTTTAGCCGTATACACGTGAAGAAGTAACGAAGATACACACTCACAAACTTTCGCCTTTATAATATTAGTGTGATTAGTAGGACTTGTAGGATTGTTATGTATTTCATAATATTTTCCAACAAATTTTCATAGATTTTGTAATTGTAAATGTAATTTTGAAATTGACTTTATATGTAATCTGTTTAACAGGCGACCCATATGGATATATTCCCTACGAAGATGTCTTTGCAGCTGAAGATCCGCGAGGTGCGCCAGAAGCTAATGGCGCAGTCCAACCTGACGCCGCACTCCGAAGTCAATACGCCCACAAGTCAGTAAAAGTCTCTTATGTTTAGACGAGGGACTTTTGTCCGCCAAAATATATCGCTTGCAACTAGGGTTTCCATTTAGGAATTTCAAAAGACCTGACAAAAATCCTGACATTTCGAAAAAAGCCCGGACCTTTTAGTCACAAAATGGTACCATTACTCACTTAGTAACAATGGTATGGTATTTAAGTCAATATGTACTTTTATTATTCATATCCAGTGTTATTTAAAAAATCCGGACAATTTAAAGATCTAGACAAAGTCCGGACTAATCCGGACGGATGGTAACCCTACTTGCAACTGCATCGAGTAACGCACCCGAGTTATTAGAAATCCCGCGTACAAGAAGTCCCCCATACGAGGGCCCGGACAGGACGAAAGTGCACGGGAGTCCCCGAAAAAAATATAGAAGTCGTGTCACAAGTCGCAGCAACGCACACAGTGAACATTAGGCTACTTTACAATGATGGACCCAGTATTCTCTTTTAAATCGTCTTCTTTTATTCATAAATTTCATGTTTTTCACAACACATTTTGACAATATTTACTTCCATAACGTGCGCTTTTCAAAAATTTTGGGGGACAAATGTTGGCACATCGTGTGCGGACATTTTTTTGACGATTTAAGTACTTTTATCCTCCTCAGACAAGTCTTTCGTCTGTGCAGGCCAATATAATCGTAAGCGTATAAAAGTCCCCACTGTTGGGGCATAAGCCTTTCATATGGATAAAGTAGAAAAGGGGGATTGGGCCAAGACCCACTACGCCTGCCCAGTGCTAACGACTGCAAATGCAGCCGGGACCAACTGCTAAATGTGCCTTCCTAAGCACGCAGGAGCTAAAGATAATTTTTTTTGGTCACCCATCTGACATTTTGATAACAGACCCTCGTCTGTTTGATGCTATATTGCGCGTTTCCCAGTATTTTTTACGTCCAACGCAAGGGGTATGAGTGTGAGTAGGGAATCTGAACTATTATGTATCCAAATTACACAACTTTTTTCTTCGTCTTATGAGGTAGATTATCAAAAAGTAATGGACACGTATTTTTTTTTCCATCATCAAAACATTTCGTAGATATATTGATTTGAAATGTCGTGTGACGTCACGTCTTGGTACTATTATGACTTAAAAGTGACGTCAGAAGGCCCCGCTCCCAAACTTTAACGCACTTTATTTTTTGTCATTTTTGGTTGATTGACCAAAGAAAAAATAAATGTGTCCACTATGTTTTTAATAATCTGGCTGACAGACTTATAAAATTTCGTTTACTGTACTCCGTCATCATGCCTTTTGTAAATATTCTATAGTTTGTCCCTACTACCCTACTAGTGTGGATAATTACCACCACATTTTAAATTAAATGCACATGTGGTAAAATGATTATGTACTTTGACGACCTCCGTGGTCGAGTGGTTTGTAGGCCGGGTTTCATGGTGTCACCGATTCGAGAGGTCCTGGGTTCGAATCCCGGTGGGGGCAGATGTTTGTGTGATGAATACGAGCATTTGTACTCCAGTCATGGATGTTTAATATGTATTTCTATATAAATATACTTATATATGTACAGTATATGTATTCTATCCGTTACCCTAGCATCCCATAACACAAGCCTTACAGTGCTTACTTTGGGGCTGGGCTAATCGGTGTGTGTTGGAAATATTTATTTATTTTACTTATTTTTTACAGACGTGAATTCCCCGATAGTGTCTGCTTTGCAGCCGACGTCGACGGCCAGTTAGCGATGTGGGTACACCATCTCCATTGTGGTACAAGAGTAGGCAAACGACTCATTGTGCTATGATAATATTGGACACTAACATATTGTTACACTACCTACCATATGATACCGGTAAACAAAGTAATTGTGATACTTTAAAACAACAAATTATCAAATTTCCCCGCTCAGAGACGTCAATTTAAAGACATCTAAACCAATGAATTAGAAATACAGTGGATTGATTTAACCATGAAAGTGTCCAAATTATCAGCGGACGCGTAAAGTGCTGCCTACATCTCTTCATAAGATCCACACATAACGAACTTAATACCTACCAATATGTAACGTCAATTACATTGAACTTTCCGTGCGGAAATCGTGATTTTAACCTGAAAAATCAATGTAAATGCGAACTTGCAATGTGTGTGTGTGCGAATAATTATGACGAAACAATGGAATGGGAGTGTATGGTGGTCTTATCACCTAAAATATAATAATATATTACGATTTGCATTTAGTGACGTTTGAAGTCTTTATAGAATATCATCTAAATATAAATTTTAGTTATAACAGAATTAAAAAATGCTGTCTTGTTATATTACTAGTGCTATTAAATCGGATTGTTTAAGACTATGAAGACTAACAAATTTCTATTGGAAAATTTGGCGCATTAGCTGAATATGATCATTTTCAACAACATCAATACTAACTAAGCTATGCGGTCTCGTCAAAATTAAAAAAATTACATTCAAATTTAGAACTTACCGAGAAGACATAAAAACGTATTAGTAATTTAAACGAAAGTCTTTCAGATAGTATGATTTATAGATAAAATCAGATTTGCCTGTTAATTTCATTTTGGGCTTACCTTGAGAAAGTTGCTTAGTTTCGTGGTCATTAAACTTTTTGATTGTATAAAAATCATTGTAAAGAGATTTCAAGTTGTTAGCTTTGTTTTAATTGAATGTTATCTAAGTTCTTCCAAATTAAATATTTTAATGGTGTCGATTCCGACATGATTTTCTAAACCTAAAACTAAATTGAATATCCTTTTCATTCTGTATATAGAATGACAAAGATATACTGATGTCAAGTTTATGTTTACACTATATGAGTATAACAAGCATATACTCATATAGTGAAAAGAATATACTCATATTGTCTAATTTAGTTTCAGGTTTAAGAAATCGTGTCAGAATAGGTCTCATTGTGCGAATCGGCGGCTGTTTCTTTTTTTTCCCGGTGAATAGACGAGAAATTATTGAGTAAATTTTATTTATAATTGAAAGAGAAGTTGTTAAATTATATACATTCGGCATAGTAAAAATCTTATTTTTAGCTTCGTGCGAGGTCAAATTGCCGCTCAATTTTTTTTGGTATCTTGAATATATTCCGATAAGTACCTACCTAGTAATTATTATGGACCATGTTATGCAAAAATGTTTAAACTCACAAAAACATCAAGTATTCAGATCTAAAAGAGAAATCCTTTTTGTTTTTATTTAGTTTTTTATTTTCATAGTAATTTAATGTTTGATTAGATAAATGTGTTGCTATTGTTTATGAGTTTGTGGGCCAACTTTGCATAACACGGTTCATTATTGTGTGTTGTTAACATTTTATTTCCGGGCTGGTATTGCACTCATATTTTGTATTAAAGTCGGCAACATATATGCAGTTATCTAAGCCCGCGTTGTTTGAAACATAGTTAAATTTGACTATAGTTAATGTCATTTCAAATACATAGTAAATGTGACAAATTTTGACAAATGTTTTTTTTCTAGTATTGTAACTATTGTCAAATTTAACATGAAATATAGATGAAACAACGCGGCCTATACCTGTTATTTTTTTCTAATTGATTGTGAGCTGTTTATTGTTGATATAAAGGTTCACAGTTAATTGAAAAAGTTGATACTTTGTGATTGATAATTTTATGTGTTGTTCACTGTACAATGCTTAATATTTTGTAACTATAAGTTTCCTCTATTATAATAATATAAAATCGTATTTATAATAGCTAGCTATAGTAAATGGATGTGAAGATTTTGTTAACAAAATCAAATAATCGTTGTGAAAGTATTTTCTAAATTCATCTCAACATCTGGACGAGCATTTCATCGGTTCCATCGTCCAGTAACCATAGAAAAACACAAAAAAAATGTATCAAACTTAATTACAATAATCGCATTAAAGTTTATCTTACGTAGAATATTTTCGTTTCCATGCCTGTAGAGTTGTAGTGTGTTATTCGTGATTTGATATTATGTATTTGTTGCGTAATTTTTTTATATCGTATTTATTTCAAATATGTTAGCACATTACTCATAAAAGGCACGATCTCAATATATTTGTATAAATATGTAAGTCCTTGTAGTTGGTTTGTGTGTCTGGTTGTGCATTTGTTGCGATACGTGTTATGGCGGTTAAGTTGTTGATGTATTCCACTGTTTCTTCTATAATCTACTGTATTAGTGTAGCAGGATAAGTTTTATTTCAAATGCATCCAGTCGTGTTTATAACTATTTTTCGTAATAAGCGACTGATATATTGAAGCGAATTCCAACTACGCAAAAACACATGCGATTTTTTTCGATTTAAATTTATTATTCGAAAGCACGATATAGAACATTACTATTATGTTTTATAAAAAAAACGAGAAACCCGACATTTGTAACGAATTGCTCGAAGCCTAATCTATTTTATGCCTGTTGTAGCTATTAAGTGCAATAAATATATGTATATCATAATTATTGTCATCATAAAATGGCAATAATGTCTTAGTTCTATCTAAAAGGTTTAGTTATGTCCGCTTCATTAATTAGGTGTATTCTGTCAATTGTGTTGCGCTGATGATTTTACTTGTCGTGACTCCATTTTTAATGGTTCGATGATTCCTTACTAAATGCTGCATTTATAATTCATTTTATTTTATCCTAGCGCGTATGCCTACAGAATTCTCTAGACGATGATGCGATAAGGACATAGATTATGTCTGACTATAATACACGACTAATTAATTAACAAGAGTGCGTGATTGAATGATGTGGCGATATCTGAATAAGAAATCGAAATGGTGCGTTATCATTATATTTTAAGTCTTATTATTTTATATTGTTTATTTATGTTGTGATGTTGGTCTTCCATGTGTTTGAGAAATTATCATTTTACTAGGTGAATATCTACTTATAATTTCCATGTACAGTGACTTATGTTAAGTATTCATTATTTAGATGCCATGTTGAGATGAGATAAATATAACGGAAATTGTAATAGATGAATACTGAACACCCTTAAAAAGTCAACGTCTTTAGTAGATCAATGCATAACGTGAAAATAATTTTGAAAAAGTAAACTTTTTAACAACCACGCAAATATTTTAACCCAGATATCAACAGTGGTTTTCAAGCTCAAATCATTATTGACACTAGGTAAATCAATATTTATGTATACACATTATAATCTCAATGTAAATATTAGATTTATTTTTAACTAATATTAGGAGTTCCCGGCTCTCAAAGTAGTTAAGTTTTTATTTAGATAATGCTAATGATAGATAAAAAGAAAAATATCTATAATTTATATTTGAAATTTCGGCCAATGTCAGATGTTATGTATATCAAAATTGTATTTTTAAATGATCTCCTCGGCGTAAATATAGTGTTTAGACGATTGATTTTAGGGGTCCGGATGTAAATGAATTTATTAAAAGTATAAAATGTAAGAAATATTTTCGCACTGTTAAATATAATCTTAATAGAGAAGACGGGGTTCTACACGTCTTGCAGTTGCTACAGTGCGTTTACATCACTGGGAAGTATCGTGGCATAGTTTGAAGATTTGGTTTGAAACTCGGCGTAGTCAATTGGTCATGTCATATATACACTTTTCATACATACAACTGTTGTTACCAATTAGTCATAAACAACAACAAATATTTTATATTGCTATGTACACTAATCTGAATTACTTGTTATGAATCGCAGTGCCTTGTCTCTCTGACGCGAATTTCTTGTGTTTACTGCATATGGGCGGTTCCTAGCTATTAGTTCAGATTAGTTTGAATTTGGTCAAGTGTTGTGAGTTTTATTTCATCTTCCCCATATTTGGAAGTTAGAGAACATCACATCACACCAAATCTGTATAGTACATATGAATAGATAGTTATTTGTAGACAACTCCTTTAAAATGTTATTTCCACAAATATCAATCTTAAATATTTTTCCAGTTTTTATCACATAAATATGTGAATATGTCTATTTGTAACAGACATTTTATAGAAATAGATGATTATATTCAATACACTAATTTTAAATATTATCTAAATCATGGTTTTATAAAAAAATCCATAGAAGTATGATGTTTTCATGATAGTGTGTTGTTGATTTTGTAATTCAAGCAGTTACATAATATTTTAATCATACTTATTATCTCATCATTTGTGTGCATCAGCACAGGCGTTTTTATTTTATTTACAGATAGTTTCACATAAATTTTATTACGATTTTGTTGCAATATCATTTAACATAGAGTATAAAATTAACAAATATGTTTCGTGGTTTATGATTGCAGTGGTTTGTACTGAATGTTTCAATTTGTTTTAATACTGTCCATCAGCTAAAGTATGTTGAGCATACCTTACTTTGCGTTATTTTGAGTTGGAGTGAATGTGTAATTGTTTTAATAAATATGAAACAAATCTTAATGAAACTTAATAAACTGCATATTATTAGTGCCTTATTGACTTTCAAAACATAAAATTTTTGTTTCAATATTATAGTTCTTTTTTAGTTATTTACAAAATGGGTTTGTCAGTCAATAATCAATGGATAATAAGCAGTTTTATATTAGACTGAATTAATATGTTGCACATAACAAGTTATAGTGTTATATTTATAAGAAATATTAGCAATTATTTGAAAAGGACATTTTAACAAAACATTTCATATTCGTTATTTATTTCTTCTACATAAGGCATTAGTCTAATTCTTTAGTCAAATGTCGTAATTGTAAATACCTTGT